GCGAAAACAATCTGTTACAGTTGTTTTTCCCGGATAAATTAATTGATCTGGAACGGAAACGATTCACAATCTATTGATACGACGGAGAAAGAGAGAGAGAATTCTACCTTTTTTGCTCAATTTCTGGTAAAAACTTTCGAAATTAAATGGTGCAGGTGGATAATAATACGAAGTGATGATATAAGTCTGATATTCCGGTTTAATCAATTCAACAAAGCCAAAACCACGCATGAGTTCTCGGATGCGTTTATTATTTTCTTCATATCTAATATGAGAAGAAATGGCAAACGATTAGTAAAGAATATTGCCAATGATACTTACCGTTTTCCTCGTCCTTGCACGCCACCTTCTTCATCAAGCTCATCCAGAGCTCGTTTAAAAGCAAGAATCGTATGCGTTGGAGCTACATAAATGACACCAACCTATCTTTACTGATCAAATTCGAATTATATTCTGTTACATACGTGTAAAACGAAATTGTTTACTCTGTTCCATGTACACATATTGATCGTAAAGATCAAGTACCAAGCTGCGTGCTTGGCCTGAATGAAAATTTTTATTTGATACAGTCGATCATATCAGTAGTACTTGATCTCACCTTGACATTTAAGTAAATGTTGCTTTTTGGAGATAACGAACGAAAATCCAGGTACTCCTTCGATACATTTGTTCGCTGAACTGATGATGTAGGTGATATGCCCATTACGAAGACTAACAGGCACAGCACCGAATGCGCTCATTGAATCCACGATATACACAATAGACCCTAAAGAAGCGAACTTGTTTCTTGATGGTAGAATAAATTCAAACGAACCTTTTTCAGCACCATGATCGTGAACTAATTGACCAATCTCATCGATAGGATTCAATATTCCCGAGCTTGTCTCACAATGGATGATAGCAACATGAGTATAGCGATTGGATTTTAATTTCTCGGCAACTTGATCAACCTGAACGCGTTCAGTTTCACCAAATGAAAGAACGTCATGAGGAATATTCAGTGTTCGACAAATTTTAACCATTCGCTGACCATAAGCACCGTTTTCGATAATTAAAACCTGACAAAAAGAGTGAGAAATACCAAATCAAATTGCATTCAATTACCTTCGCATCTTGTCGAGAAATGGATGTTGAAAACGTTGCTTCGACTGCATATGATCCGCTTCCTTGCAGAAGGACAGCTGTGTAATCGTCTGCTGATGCATCTGTAACCATCGAGAAAACGATATTGTGAAAATTTGCTTGAGGAATGCTTAGTCACCTGCTAAATGAAGTAGCTTCTCGCGAATATACGCAACGATATTCAGAAACACTGTATCGCGTGAACCTAAATCATGCAACATTGCTTTTTTCACGGTTAAGCTAGTCGTCAGTGGACCCGGCGTAAATAATTTAGCATCATTCTCTACGTAATACAAAGAAAAATTGACGTTTTTTCCCTGTAAATCGATCAATTACCTTTAAGTTCCATTGTCTGTACAAGATAGATAACGAAGAAAAGTACTAACTTAGCGTGTTGACCTCCGGTAACTGGGGTGATTCTCTTAGCCAATAGAATTCTGAATAGGCGAACGAAGTAAACAGAAGAAAGAGAAAAAAATGGGTAATTCTGTGTTCTGTTATTTGCTTATCTCGAATGACTGATATAGTTTTGGAATTAGATTTAAACCAATCAACATTCTTACCTCATTATAAAAATTTACTACCCACATCGAATACAAATGAAATCAATTCAACGAAAAAATCGTCGAAACGAAGTTCAGCGTCATATCGAGAACGTTTAGAACGTATTAAGAATAATTGTCAATTAATTCGTGAACGACGACGGCGTTGTTCTCTATTCTCGAATTTACCGATCGAACTTCGTCCAAGTCTATTCCAACAACGTCATTATCAATCCGGCGCATTAGAATTGCTGAATATCAGTCCTAATCATTGGCAATCAACCAATGCATTACGTTTGTCTGATGAATATTTATATAAATGTAAATACGCTATGTATGCGACAACAAATCGAAATTTTAAACAGAAAGAATTCTATTTTCTACTCCGAGAACTTTTCTCATGTTCGGCAACGATAGAAATCGACAGTATCAATCAGCCATATCAATGTCAATTGTGTGATTCGAGTTTTCATTCGGTTGATATATTTCATTTACACTTAAATCGTCGAAGTGTATCCATCCAATATCAATGTTTAACATGTCAATCGTTGATTCAGACTGCCAATCCATGTCAAGCCTATTATCACTTATTACTGCATCCCAATTCGACGAAGAAAAAGCGTTTGGCACATTTGAGCATTAACTGTGATCCAAATACTTCCCTGGTAGGTACTATTCACATGTATATGAGCGAATGCAAGTATTTTCTGTCCTTTAGGAATTTATTGGCGATACATTCATAAAATATTGTGAGAATTAATTAAAACAGTGAATTAGATTCGTATTCGATTATAGGTTCTTTCGTTGGTGATAATTTATTTCCAAATGACGTTCACGTTCTTTCGCTTGTAAAAATGCGGACTTCATCGACTGACGGTGCTGTTCTCTAATAAAATTTCTCATTCGAATTTGTTCACAATGATCGCATAGACAAATCATCTGCTGATCGTCGACAAGTGAATACCACCAATTGACCGTTGAGTCTACGCCACAGTTGAAACAAATTTGTGGCATTTGTTGAGTCAATTCTGTCGGATAGATATTGTTTCTCAGATAGTTCATAACACAGTCTAGACCTTGATGTTCGAGAAAGTCGAGATCTCTTGAGTTTGGTATGAAAGTATTCAATGAATTGAAAACGTGAGACGACGATGGCAAGGTTAATAACTGACTTTTCAGTTTTTGTCTTAGTTCAAGACGTTTTTCCATTAATTCATCATCGTTAGTGATCATTTCAAGTACTGTCAATGAGAAACTGAATGGCGCCTGTTTGAAAAATCTCACGTGTATTTGAAGAATATTAGCAGATACAAAAAAAGCATTTCACTGATTTACTTTCAAAGTTAACGCTAGTTGTTCTAAATAATCTAATTTTGATTCGAATCTGTTAGTTAGTTGTTCGATGGTTTCAATTCGTGCACTTAAACTTAATTGACGTTTTTGTTCGTCGGGGAGATATGAAGCGGGCTTAGTAGTGCCTAATGTCAAGTCAAGACGTCGGTGAATATCGTTGAGCATGATTGATAGACGATTATTCATTTGAGTGTTTTCAGTGACCACTTCTTTCAAGTCAATGGGCTGTTTGGCTTGTTGAAACTTCTTACGTGAGGAAGAATACTTGAGCAATCGAAGGATTTTTATTGCTGTTACATAACGTTTTGGTAGATCTTCGATCGAGGTGATTGATTTTCGACGAATTTGACTTGAATTCGGTGTTGTTAGTGGATTACTTCGGAACGGGTTCTTTTCGCGTGTTTGACTAGATGTGTATCGATGGAATGGTGGCGCGGAGCTTGGTGATATGAGTTCATTGACACGTCGCTGCATTAATGTGTAGATTTTCCATGTGGCAACGAAACGATCACCTTGTTGAGAACATCGAAATCGCCACCAATTCCGTATAAGACTTGCAGCGGCTGGTACGAGGCGGTTCAATGCTTCATCACGCTTTTGCTCCTGAACTTTGATCGCCAAACCCTTTATATTCAAAAAGAAACGATAATCAATAGAAGACAAGTACAATCGAGCACGTACACTGCCAATTATGCCCGCTGGTAGACACCAAAACGCAACACCGAGATAGCAAATTGTTGTTGTTATCATTTTAGCAATGAACGTTGTAGGATAGATATCACCGAATCCAATGGTTGTCATCTAAAACGAACAAATCATCAATTCGATTCTCTTTCAGAAGAATCTTAACTGTTATGATTGAGAACCACATGGAATCGGCCATGGACTTATATTGTCCTGTGTATGAACTGGCATCCATTGGCTTTTCAGAGATAAAAACAAGATAGGCACCGATGATTAGAAACATGAAACCAATAACAATGGTAACCGTTAGTTCTTGACGATGTTTTAAACAGATTTCCTTTAGAATTCGCCACGACGTCAATTGACGATCAACACGTAAGAAGCGAATCATCTGTAGTGGCGGCAAGTAATCTAATGCAAAGCGAGAAAATTCACCTGTCGTTAAACCAGTGGCCAACAAGTATCCGAAACCACAAAGTGTCAATATATCGAGCACAATTACCGGTTGAGTGACAAATACCAAACGACCTACCCATGTTCTATACATAGCAAGACAACCTGCTGCCCATATGCGTAATACAAGCTCGTAGGTGAAGAATATGCAAAGAATCAGTTCACCATAGTACAAGGGTGTGTTTAATTTTGTTCGCCATTCGACAATGGTTGAGATTGAACCAAAAACCAGGGAGATTAATGTTAAAGCAAAAACAAATAAGTGATAGATGAGTGTACGTCTGCCTTCTTGTCTCTCGAGAACGTGATAGACATCCGCTTTATGAATACGGAAGAGGGGGCAGTATCGAGAGAATCCATCATTAGTATATTCATCGTTCAAATCTAATGTTGCTGAATAAATCGAAATTGCCGATGGACGTGAAGCAGGGGAAAGTGTACTCTTACGTCGAATACTCATCTTTCGACATGTGATTGTTTTCTTCTCTTCTTTTTATACTGGCATTAAATGAATGATCCTCACGTATGTTGACCTTTAGTCGAGAATGAATCAAATTCGTACTAAGATGCATGAGTCTCTTTTTAACAAGAGAATAGGAAAAAAGATCGCTGCCTAGACGAGATTTACTATGAGAAATCGAAGAGCTTTGGCTAGAGAGCGGTAGAACTTGATTTTGATTGTCATCGAGTGACCTCTATCCGATGGGAATGTTACACAAACAATCTAGAGACGGTTGTCATGTAACCATCTGATCGTGTCTTTCTTTCCATGGATGAAATAAATTCCAAAGAAGAGAACAAAACGAATCTTTTCAATACGTCTATGATATATCATTTATTTACAAAATGACAGACGGTAAAAGAAGCTTTTGATATGTTTGAACATGCTGATGAACTCTCTGTTTTGCAGGAGTTGATACGCATATTTTACGCTACTACGAAATTCAAAAACGTCTCGGAAAAGGAGCATATGGCATCGTATGGAAAGCAACTGATAAACGAAGTAAAGAAGTCGTCGCGTTGAAGAAAATTTTCGATGCATTTCGAAATCAAACGGATGCTCAAGTCAGTGACCGAAACAACGGTATTGATTGGAAGACTTTGTAATTCTGATTCTAGAGAACCTATCGTGAAATTGTTTTCCTACGTGAATTTGGTGAACATCCTAATGTTATTCGATTACAAAATGTCTTACGTGCTGATAACGACCGAGATATCTATCTTGTTTTTGAATTTATGGGTAAAAACATCGTTTTGATTTTTCATTTTATCTTTCTGATGAATTCGATTTTCAGAGGCGGATTTGCATAACGTTATTCGCAAAGGAAACATCCTTAAAGATACACATAAACGATATGTAATGTATCAGTTATTAAAAGCAATGAAATATCTCCATTCTGCCAATGTGATTCATCGTGATATGAAAGTAGAGAAGAAGAAGAGACTAATCCTGATTCTATAAACATCACGTTCTTTTCAGCCGTCAAATGTTTTAATTAATCAACAATGCCGCGTTAAAATATGTGACTTTGGTCTTGCTCGATCATTGAATTATATTTATGAGGATCCACAACATCCAGCTTTGACAGAATATGTTGGTAAGTTCATTTCACTAAAAATGATCGTCATGTTTTTTTTTCTCGTGAATCCTATGTTTACAGCAACAAGATGGTATCGAGCACCGGAAATTTTACTTGCTTCGACAAAGTAAATGTTTTTTTTCTTCTAATCATGTATTTCACACTTATTGATACATTAATGGTTAGATACACCAAAGGAGTTGATATGTGGTCTATCGGTGAGTTAGGATCTATATCATATACTTATTTTTAAGGTATTGATTAGGTTGTATACTTGGGGAGATATTGCTGGGAAAACCTTTGTTTCAAGGAACATCAACGTTCAATCAATTGGAACGTATTCTTCAATATATTCCAACGCCCAGCCATTCAGACATTGCTAGTATTGCATCTCATTATGGACCAAGTGTGTTAGAACGAGCATCATCTGGGTAGAATTACCGTTAAAAAGAAACAATCTAATTAAGTTGAAGAAGATGTTTTCATTTTAGTCAAAAGAAATCACTTGATCAATTGATTCCTAATGCTAGTGATGAAGCTCAAGATCTTCTTCGACGTCTTCTGCATTTTAATCCTGATAAACGTATAACAGCAGAAGAAGGAGTTCGCCATTCCTATGTAGCTTCGTACGTCATTTGTACAGACTCCTTTCTGTCATCATATTTCTTCTTTTACATTAGATTTCATAATCCAAGTGAAGAAATGACAAAAGGTTATGATGTAGTTCCACAATTGAGTGACGATATACAATTGACTGTCGATGAATATCGAAAGAAACTATATGAAGTAATTCATTTGGTTCGTTTTCGAATGAAAGAAGGATATTTTCATTTGAATCTTTAGTTAATTCAACTACGTAAAGTTTCAGCAAAGATCAACTCGAATATGTCTTCCTCGAATTCTGAAGTTGCGCGACCGCGCGATACGTCAATGGATCAACAGCAACGTTACGGTGCCAGTGCTTACATCGATAAATCGGAATACGACGCTTACAAGCAATCAACAGTAAACTCAACATCTGCAGCAAATCTCGGAGGAGCTTATTCAAACTATTCTGTGGATAATAATAATCGTTATGTTCAAGATGTCGTCGATGATGAATGTACACCAACGACAACGCATGATCAATCCAATGGACAATCACAACATATGAAGAGCACTTCCACTACATCTTATTCTGGTTCGTAGACAACACTTGTGCATTGCTAATTGTTGCTTTCTTTGCATAGGACTTGTCGGTCGATCGAACAGTTATAATGCCTCACAACCCAGATTGATCAGTAGTAAACAACGAAATACAGCGGCCGGTTCGTCAATGTTATATCCGGTAGAGAATATAATCGTTTTTCTCAGTGAGAACTGTCGAACGAAGAACTCTCGTTTAGAAATCGACTATGGGTGGTTTAACACGTGAGAAGATCGGAGCTAACCGCGGATTCCGCTCTGGTTCAGCTCCAACTCCAATACCGCCAGCAAAACAAACCAATAGTAGTAATACTAACAATTATTACATTCGCCGTCCAACAGTAATTTTCACTGACGAACGTGGTGGACCAAGTGATAAGAGCGCTGGTGCACAATCGAGAATGAATACTAAATTTGTTCGTAAACTTCTCTCATGTATTTATTTGACTTCATCTTCGCTTTGTCTAGACAAATACTCTACGACCCAATTCAGCCGCTGATAATCGAAACAAGCCTCGTTATCACTCTGCAACGATCATGAATCACAATCAACAGCAAGGAGGTGGAGCATCGAACTCATCGTACATAAACTACAATGGACATTATCAACAGCGCCGTCCTACTCATGGAAATTATTCGAATACTACAGTGACAACCGTAGCACGCGATAACTTGGGTGGTTATCATCAAAATATGGGTACATTAACTCAAAACGGTTTACGTGTTCTTGATGGTCTCCTTCATAATGCAACGTAACATTGGTTTATTGCTATTTTTATTGTTTTTCTTTCTCTTTTTAATCTCTTCAATGTTTACTACGTATATGTATGCATATATTTAACGATGGGCATTTTCTCTTTATTCGTGCATGATGGACTAAATAATCGTGCATTGTTGGTTGTTTTTATTTCTCTCAATTGTTCCATACCGTTAGTAGTCTGACCAATTTTGTATGTTTTTACCTCTTCTACACATATAGAAGTGATCCTTTTGTGTACATTTTTTTCTTTTATTCAAAATATAAAAGCACAGCGAGCCAATTATTCATTCATGGGTTAGTCAATTCGGTTAGCGAAAGTCAAGTTTTACTTTATTTGCCTATGCATACAAATTCTTGCGAAAAATTTCCAAAGAAAACGAGAAAAAAAAACAGTTTGATTTCAGTTTAATGAAGCAGCAGCACCCGATAAGATCGAAAACAAAAAGATAACAATCTACTATAATACTGTTGGAAAATACACAATATATATATATATATATATAATTTTTATAGGACAAGCGCAAATATGTGACTAGTGTAAAACTTCATTTCTACTAGAAATTCAATGAAGATTTTCAGCACTGGTCATTCGACCATGGAATGTGGATGGCTGTTGGTGTTTGAAAGCAAAATTATTCTGTTGATCCGTAGGATTTCCACCAGTAGCTTGTCGATTAACAAACTGTGGCTGTTGTTGAGAAACATTGTTCAGAACCGATAATGACGAAGCTCGTTTCATTGGACCACAGTTATAGTCTTGTTGTTGCGAATGTTGTTGTTGATGTTGTTGTTGTTGTGGATAATGTTGCGACGAATTAAACGATTGATTATTCCATCCAGTTGATGATGTTCCACGGAGTTTTTGTACTAATTTTTCCGATCCCCGTCGGATACTTTGTCGCAGTTTTTGAAACGAACCACTTCGACGTAATCGTCCATACTCCTGTGGAGGAGCCTGCTGAGAAGCACGGCGTAACGTTCCTTGATTAGTATCATCATATATGCATAGTTGACGAATGATCGCTAAAGCACGATCGATGGCTTTTGGATCTTGTGTTGATTTCGTCGCACATGCTTCGATATAATCCGCTTGTTCATACAGACCTTGTCGACGGCAAAGTGCTCCTATAGAAAGCAAATAGCTGGCAAATAGACATTGTTTATAAATACGTTGTCGAAACAATCTTTTTTCTAAACATGAGATTAATCTTGTGCTTCGTTTCTCGTCAACTTAACTAATACCTATACGATCGATCAAAATTCGTCCGAGCTTTGAGAGAAAAGAAAACGGATGCTAACAAGGAAGTTTATCGAGACAACCGCACAGCGGATATTGCATAAACTGTCCTTTTTCAGCTATTTTCTTTACAAGAACGTCAAGAATGATTAATATCAACAAATCATTTCCGAAATGTCTCGAATTTTGTACATACCAAAGTTTTTCAATGTTGTCATGACAGTCGAACCATCTCGGAGCGAAGTCGAAGTTGTACTGAGGTTATTCGTCGCATTTTCCGATTGTTCATTTGATAGAACTTCTTGATACAACTGAGCGGCTAGTTTATATTTTCCTTCACGTAAATAAGCTGATGCCAGATTGTTTTTGGTTTTGGCCACCAGAGGATCAGTCTTTCCGTAATGTTTCGTATAGATTTCAATCGCACGCTTGTAGCATTCTTCCACTTTGTCATATTTGCCTTGATTGAGACATAACAAGGCTAAATTGTTTAACTGTTTACCGACATCCGGATGGTCAACTCCAAAGCATTTCTCACGAATTTCCAACGCACGTTTGCACAATGGTTCTTGAATGAAAAAAAAACACATACACATTAGGCCAAGAGTCTGTATTTCATTGTTCTCAACCTACCTGCTTCTTTATATCGATTCTTTTTACCATAAAGGACAGCGAGATTGTTCAAAGTCGCGGCAACAGCAGGATGTTCAAGTCCAAGTGTTTTTTCTCGTATCGTTAAAGCTTCATTCAGTAATTGTAATGCTTCTTTGAATTTATTCTGATCACGATAAACTAACGCAAGAATGTTCAACATGGTCGCTACATCGGGATGGTTATGACCATGAGTTTTTTCTAAATCTTCAAGTGCCTGTCGACACAGCGGTACAGCAACTTCATATCGGCCTGCCTGAGCGTATTGTATCACAAGATTATGTAACGTACGAAAACGCGGAGGAACTTCCGAATGATTCTTTGTTTCGGATGTTGTTTCTACGCGTTCTTTTGTGTCTAATGGCATTTCTTTTTCAATATCAATTGTTTGTGTTAAATCTAAAGGTTCATTAGTTGTCTCTGATGCTAATGTTTCATTCAATAGACGAATATCGCGTTCATAATCTTCTTTCATTTGAGTGCTCGTTTGTAAATGTTGTTCTGTTACCGATAATTCATTCCGTAACCAACTATTTTCTTGTGTCAAGCGTTGAACTTGTAACATTAGCTTGTACGTTTCACTGTCAAGTTCGTCGAAATGCTTTTGAAGTTGTAAGAGAACAACCGCTTCACCAATTCCCAAATCGATTGATTCAAGAGATTGTTGAAGTTGGACATTCTTGTCTTCATCAGTAGGAGATGATAACAACAGGTTATGCTCTTGCCGTAACGCTTCGAGATTGGATATAGTCGATCGGGTGGAATGCGTTAAATCATGAGTACGAAGAGTTGTGTTCATCTAAAAAAAGGAAAAATTCTTTCGAGGTTAAAGCATCTTGTAGTGAAGCTAATTGATAGTGTAATTGAGGAAACATAAGACGTGCAATGGTACTGTATTTTTCTTTACCTGTTGCCAAACGTGAGGAAGAATGGAGAGAGAGAGAGAGAGAGAGAGAGAGAAAAGAAAAGAAAAAGAATGAGTAAAAATGTTGCTGTTAAGCTAATGTGTGTTCTTGTCTTTCACGTCTTTTTTTTTCTTCATTCAGTGTTATTTTACTCTGAATTTGCATCGAGACGTGATTGAAGGAACTAATAAAGTTGGTTATACAACATTAAATAACAGAAGATTCAATTCATCTTACCTATGTCGTCGTCGACTGTTCAAATGAAGAGGAAAAAGGAGAAAGAGTGAGTTCGAGTAGGTTGAATCATTTAACTGTCTCGATACCAGTAAGCATGTACATATTGAATATATTTCTCTCTTTTGCTTTTCGCTCGACTACGACAACTACCATCACCTCTCGTAATGATCGAATGCGTACGTGTCAGCTGTTACAGTGGAGATGCAAAAGTATAATCTCAAATCAATAGAACTGAGAAAAAGAAGAAAGAAAGAAAGAAAGAAAGAAGGAAAGAAATGCGGCGAACAGGCAGCTTTGCAGTTCGGTATTTCATTCCTAGGTGTTTTGTGTTTTGCTGCTCGTTTCTGTTACTTAGGAGTTCATTTTCAAATCATTTAGTCATGAGGAAAAGCAAAGAATGAACAATCTGTCGGCTGTGGCAGTAATGAAAAAAAAGAAAAGAAGTTAACAAGAATGGCTTCAAAAGAAAAAAAAAGAGAAGAAAGAAAAAAAAGGTGCAGAATTTTCTTCTATTCTCTTCCATGGCTTTGACAGTGTTCAACGCTGTCATTAGGTCAGAGAATTACAAGTTAAAAATGGATGTTTCATCCCATTCGTAACCATTTGACATCAATAAATAACGCTCACACAGTTTCTAATACTCGAAAAAGCAAGACCAGGTGGAGAAGATTTCTAGCGCCAAGAAAAACATACTTCTCTCTATTAAAATTGGCATGATTATAATATCCTTCAGGCAGATGTTTTGATTGAGAGAAAATATATACATGAATAATAAATATGTATCTTAAAGGGGAATGAATCATACGAAAATATAAGATGGAGAATTGATCTTTTTGCGTGCAACGAACAAGCTTGATGCTTTGATTGTAGATCGATGCCGAACAAGAGTATAGAAATATTTGTCATAAAAAAACCATTTTTACTATTTAATAATCAATTTCGATTATATCGAATATGCAGAGTCGGCTTGTTCGTTTAACTGAATAATCATGTGTATATATATGAGATAGACGAGCACCAAGGATAATATATTGCTTCATCTACCTCCACTCTTCGAACAGGACTAATTAGTTATTCAAATGATGTTTTGTTAACAAGGACAATTGAATGCTATGTGAAGTGTTTATCATGTATGCAGTTGCGACGTCAAGGTTTGAAGAGACAGACTGAAGTATAATCACAAGTATTATTAGCTAAATTTCATGGATCACGAGCGAAATATAAACAAAACTTGGTCGGATCATGATCGAGGGTTGATGAATGGAGAGAAGATATCCGCCCTCACGAACACTCACTGTCTCATCCTACGCGGAGATTTCTCATGTGTAACTAATCGAGCAAATTCGATAAACTTTCTTTGTTTTTCTTTATTTATTAAAATACGTCTTATCGTTATTGGTTTTTCTTGGAAATGATCGATGGCTTTGAGATTCGTGAGCAAATGAATTTTTCCCGAGAAAGAAAAACGCAATAGGAAACGATGATGATGTTAATGATCGGGAGAGAAGCCAAGGCAGATTAACACGGTTAATGATTTTATTAGGAACGAGGCGTTATTGAAATAACAATGAATACAAAAGCTTTGTTCTATCTGTGCTCATCTATTATGCATCGAATTCTCTCTCTCTCGCTTTTTGTGTATGAGGGGGTTGTCGGTCAAAGTACCTCTTCGACTGTTTCAGGACATTGAGCAATCCATTATTCTTTTTCTTTCGCTTTCTCTCTCTCTCTCTCCCTCCCTTTCTTTGATCCTAGAGTATATAAACTAGCAAAATAGGCACAGATTCTCAATTTCAGTTAACATCTCCTTTGATCGAAATCATTCAATCGTAAGTAGAACATGCATTATAGTCAGCTGTAGTCGAAACAATAATCTTAACAATGTGTAGGAGGAGATTTTGTGTAAAACCCTACATTTATTGATGAATATCGTTAACAGGCGAGTTTTGTACTTTCTCTTTCAGCAACTAATGAGTTCGAATGAATCATTTGTTCATATTGTCATCAAGAAATTCCTTATCACGCTATTGAATATAGAAAAAAAAACGAGAAAGGAAACTAATATTGGTCTTTTAGTCATCGTTTTTCATAACTACCACTAACCATTGTTTGTTTCTCTGAGAAGGGTGAGTAAGATATCTTGTCGGAAAAACGAGTTTCCTTCATTTTGATTAATCCAGACTGTTCTTTACAGTCATACTTTTTCTGTTATTACAAGGCGTCCCATTTGCAAAAAAAATGCCGCCTTCTTCGACATTCACTATTTAAACCCCTATGAATCGTTGACTACTGCAGCCCAACAAATACTTTTTATTTCAGATCAAAATTTTGCTCTATCACAACAAAATGAATAACGTTATTCCTTTGTTCTTACTTGGTGTTATGCTTAGTTCACACGGTATAGCTGGTCAATGGTACATTATGAAAAAAGATTACCCATCAGCGCTGATGAATTATCCCAATCCTGGAAAACGAAGTATCGAAGAAGACCGGTCTTCCGATGATAAAAAGATCGATTGTTCAATCCCATATTCATACATGATTACTTATACAGACAAAACGGCTTGGCTGTTACTGTGTAACGATTATCAGTCGCCGTTAGGATCAACTAACGATTTGTCATCTGTGGGGAATTCTATTGCGGATAAGTTCTATTCAAGCCCTCGACTTATATCTCATGAACGAAGGACTGCACGCTCTATTCCACCGTATCTTTACGAACAAAAGGATTTATTCCGACGACGCCGCCGTCGACGACGATTTCTGAATAGCTTATGACGATCTCGAAATCAATAAATAACAAAACGATATTCTTAGTGTTCGTTCACATCCAAATATAGATTTCTGTCGAAAAAAGAATAAATCGATTTGAATCAACATTCAGTTTTGAAGTATTCATGTTTGTTTTTTTTTTCTGTTGGTGTTGTTGTAAAATAAATATGTATTTATTTTGTTTTTTATCTATAAATGAACATGAAAAAAACATAGCGTTCATTTATCTTCGAACCATAAACGAGCAGAATTTTCATGTGCAGCATTAGGATGGTCTTCTAGTATCACATCACTACGTTTTCCCCAGCCTACAAGAGTAAAATCATAATGGAGATATTCAAAGAAAAGGAAGAGTAGAACTACACTTACCAGGACCTTTTCGTTTGACTAGTTCCTGGTACGTTTCATCTTGCTGTTCATCATGAATTGGAAAAGACCAAGAGAATTTCTTTACGATTGCTGGACGTGCATCAACTGTAATTTGACTGATGAAGTATTGGCAGATGAGTAGAGTTATGGCGAAGAAGAAGCACACCTTCATGTTCAACGTATTATTCGGGTACCAATTGATGAAATGAAGAATGGAATTGAGTCGACGAGAGATTTTATTTTGAAATAGAAGAAACAAAAAAAAGTAGAAACTGCAAATTACGGAAGTCGGCTCGTATAAATCGGTGATTTTAAATACTCCGTTCGTTCTCTAAATAGATTCAAGAGAGACAGGGAGAGCGAGAACTATAGAAAAAAAAATTGATAATTGACTATAAACAACACTGTTATTCATTATATGACAGATGAGTTTGTTATCCTGTCCCCCAAACGTGAATGCCAATGTCCACATTAACGAAATACATGTAAGGTCAAGCAATAAAAATCCGTGTTTTCTTGTTATTCCTGTTCGATTGATATTCAATGTGCTTATAACACGTTGTTCTCGGCAATTTATCTCTCTTATTCATATTTCAATAGTGACGAGGAAAAAATACGCCTGCTCAATATTCGGAGGCATTTATCTACACAATGTTTTTCTCAAGCAATTGTGCGTGAATCGAGAATAAAGAGGAGGATTTCTAAGTAAACGTGAATCGATTGAGAACAGTATTGTATGTGGTGGAAGTTTCGCTTTACAAATTGAATCAATTGATGACAACGATCGTACACGGTTGGAAGCATGTCTCCGACATGGGGATGTAGCTCATATGGTAGAGCGCTCGCTTAGCATGCGAGAGGTATTGGGATCGATGCCCAACTTCTCCACTTTTTGCTTATTTTTTTAAATAAAACTGTTTTTTTTTATTCTCAATTGCCAATAAAAACACAACAAAAAAAATCGACCGTTCTGTTTTATTCTAATAAGATACCCACGTTGTTCTTGGATTAAACATATTCATATTTGTCGACGAGGAGATTTGTTTCGCTTGAATACGGAACGGATTCCCGGTTAACAACAGATCGGACGCCAGCAATCTGAGAAATGAGTAGACAAGCGATGATTGATTCAGATGAAGAAAAATCAATGGACTTACTTTGATGTTACAAAATGGTGTTTCGGAAACGAAATCAACTTGAATTGGAAAGAAGTCGCTTGCTTTGCCACGAACAGAAAATTCTAAGGAACCTTCCGAATTCGATTGATCGATGACGGGCAATGTCCAAATTAATGTTGTTTTTCGACTATCGAATTGATAATCACCATCGATTTTATCAATAACTGGTGTTTGTCCACCACCCCTGAACGAAACATAATCCATATTTGAGAATTTATCTGAAGGAGATTACTTACGGCAATGGAACGCTAATTTGAACATCTTTTAAAATTAGGTTCTTATTTTGTAATTCGTATTCAATATTCACATCGCATCCACCATTCGGTGTTTCGTTTGGCCAGCAATTAACTAGAAGAGAATGAAAGGTGAATGAATTTTCGAAGGAAAATATAAATTTTCCTACTTGTTAATGGAATTTCACTATCATCAGTTGATGTATAACGCCATTTGAGTACACCCACTTCTTGATTCGCAGGAAAGGGTCGATCGGAATTTTTCAAGCCAATCAACGACTCGTTTGTAAATAACTTCTTATCAATATTCGGGTGAGTCTGCGTACGAAGGCCAATTTGCTATTTATAGTTAGTTAGAAAAACTATATTTACTTGTAATTGAACACCACGCGATTCTTTGTTGTCAACAGCCACAGTAATACGGCCATAATCCTCTGATTTGACACGTAACATAATCATGCCCTGTACTTCGAGATTTTCTACGCCACCATTACGACCACATCGGACCGTTAACTTCTCTTCTTGTTTCAGATGAACACTAAACATAGTCGAAGAGAAATATTGTAACTGCTCGTGAAGATGTGTAGATCAGCTTACTCTCCCTTCTGTGAGTCAGCGATCGAGATACTCTGTGTTTTTGCTTTCCCTGTTGTCCCACCAGCACCTGCTGTTACGGGTACTGTATTTGCCACCACTTCTCCCTCGGATTTCAATTGATTCACAAATTCTTCAACATTTTTGCCCTTTTTACCCAATACCATACCTCTTCCACCACCTCCAGTTGTACCCGAACGAATCGTGGTTCTACGATTTTCAAAAAGAAAATCACATCTTGTTCAGCAAATTGCACTTACGGTGCACTACTTGGGTATGTCACTGGCGTGGGTGTGATATCAGGTTTTGATTCATTGGATGAGCTACTATACATGTTTGATGATATGCCAGTTGAACTTCCGTATGTTTTTGGTCCGCCGAGACGTTGTTGAGCACGTCGTTGCAATTCAAATTCTTTCGCCTTCTGTTTCATTCGATCCTTGGCTTCTTGTTCTTGAGTCTAGAACACATGATTTGCAATTAAGGAAAGGAAAACAATACTTTTCGGGAAAAAAACCTTTCTCATTGCGTCATGAACGCGTTCATCATGAGAATCCATTTCTGTAAATGTACGAATTTGCGCTAAATTCACATTTTCCTTGTAGCCCAATGCCACTATTTCATCGAAAGCAGATAATAACTCGAATGCATGTTGAAACACTTCTTTTTCATCTACCGTTTTACAATACTCCGGAATCTAAAAGAAACCATCACGTATGATCACATCGCAATAAGAAAACCATGCAATTCTTCATACCACACGAGAAAACAATCTTAATGTTTCCAAATCCTCTAAGATATTGCTCGCTTTTGTTGTTAATAAAACCATGTAGAGTTTGTCGAATGGTTGATAGACGTAACGAACAGTATCGGTTTCCACGAACGTATGTTGTTTACCTGCGCCGATTAATTTTGGAAACGCAGCAAGTAAACCTTCGATACGCGATCGTGTCATTTCCACGAATTGTCGTGAGACAAGTGCTAAACAAGAAACTCAACAGAAGAAAGCAAATAGATATTCAACATACGTTTGCCAGCTTTCGTACAAATAGATGCAGCGAGTAAGACCATCTTTACTGAAAGAAAATGAGTGAAGTATTCGAGACAAGTGAATAAAAGGAGAATCAAGTCGAGTTGGCAGTCTTGTTGTTTTTCTTTTCTTTGCTAAATACCTATTCGTAAATGAAACAGCCAATCAGGGTTAAGTATACGCAGACAGACACGAAGTGTTTTCTTATTTGATAGATAACACAGAAACAGATCGGCATAGAAGCTAAATATCTGCGCAACAGAGAGGCTTTACTAAAACTTAGCACAATTTAGCAGTATTCTTAAGAATTCTTCCATCTTTCGAATTGATATCAACTATAGAATATGTAAATCGCGACATTTAAAATAGATTAGGTTATAAAATAGTTTGCCATCGAATCTGTCGATACGTTGCATTTCCAGTCAAATCCTTTGATTCTCAATCTCGGAAGGTTTTCATTTCTCTACTATTACGAAAATTGAGTTTTACAGATACAGATAACTGACTCATTTCGATCGTATATGTTCATTCGATAATGATATTGTTAAATTCGAGATTATTGAGACATAAGTCGAGAATTATAATTATAGAATGTCGATATTTGATTGAAGAATTCCACGTATGTCTTCATCAGTTTTTTTAATAGTTAACCTAAAGCGACAAGCATCTTGATGAGAACAAAGGCGACAGAGGACGCTGCGAGAACGATTCCAAAGCTAATATGTTGTCTGATCAGTTGTTTGTTTTCACTTGTTTACGAAAAAAAAATCTATTTGTTCTTAGAAATCCATTTGCCAACACTTTTCGTTCAAAACTGATTCTCAACCTGTATTGGTCAAAGATTAACCATCCTACTCGTTCTGTTTGACAAAATAGAATCAATAAGTAAACGATTTTCCCTTCTGCTTCTGTTTTTTTTACAGATAATACGAAGAATGTTCATTGAAAACACCTACGATTAAAATTTCATGTTTAGTTGACTCAAATTGAATTGAATGCATCATCAAAGTTCTGAACAATGTCGAGTAAATAACATTTGTTTCGCTAGGCATCCATACGGTTGACTGATTTCCATTGTCATTGTAGATTTTTGATGGACATTTCGATGATGATATGATTGCATTCGATGACGCAACATCTGCACCGATAGGTCTCATATCAGCATCAAATTATGCGACGAAACTTCTGGAGAAATTCTCGGCAATGCGTAATAAACCTGAACTGTGTGATTTTCGCATTGATGTAAATAATAAACAATTCCGTTGTCATAAATTCTTGTTAATGGCAACATCAGATTACTTCAAAACTATGTTCAATGGTTTGTCGAAAGAATGTTTGCAGTTCTTCAGGAAAAAAACTTACTGTTTGTTTCAGGTAACATGTGCGAAAGTCAATCAGATCATGTTGAACTGAAAGATTTTGAACGTTCATCGAATGGAATTGAAGCAATGATAGATTTCTGTTATTCCGGTTCGTTGTTAATCACATTTGACAATATTGATGAATTATTACATGCTGCAACACATCTGCAAATCTTCGATGCGATCAATTTATGTTGTCAATTTCTCATCGAATCGTGTTCAATTAAAAATTGCATCGATATTTACAAAATATCTGATTTCTACTCACTCGATAATGTTCTATTCGTTATCAAAACATTCATCTCAAGAAATTTCGTTCTCTTGATGATTCAAGCTCCAGATCAGTTCGAACAGTTGACCTACGAGCAGATATCCGACGAATTATCACGCGATACGTTAGAAATGCATAATTGTAATGAACATGATCTCTTTGTAATGACGTGTGCATGGATTGAAGCCAATCGAGCCGAAAGAGATCGATATGCTGCTGATTTATTTCAACTGATACGCTTTATGCTAATGACGCCAGAACAATTATGTGATTCTGTGCGAGATCATGAATTGATTAAATGTAATGAACAATCAAGGATCTTGGTGCAGAATGCTCTTTGTTACTATGCGTTACCCAACCGACAGCCGTTATTGAATGATAAACAGTGTCAAATACGAAATGAACCCGTCCTTGTGGCTGTCGGAGAAGTTGAATTGTTTACTTTGAATACTGTTGCAGAGAAATGGGAAACGCTTTGTCAAGCGCCACTCGAAGAAAATTATCCTGTAAGTTTCTTGAGTTAGTCTGAGTTGTTCACTCGTATCTGTCGTGCCCTTTTCTGTATTATTCCAACGTTAAAAAAAGAATTGAACAAGACCAGCCCATCTTGACTTTTACCAAGATGATAATCTATGTGCACTTGCGGTGTTCATTAGTTTTAAAAGAATTTTATAGGAAGAAAATGTCACGTTCTAATATTATTAAGTAGATCATCAGTCAAAGACCTCCATTAGTTGTATCACAAATCGGAGGGACGTTCTCGGATCAGGAATCTCAGAAGCTACGACACAATAGAACAGTAGGAGTTCACCCAACGTACAACCACTCCCATTGTTTCCTTCAGGACACCATCGGAAGGCATTGAAATCTCTATTTTTCTTCTTATTTAGTATCCATTCAGTGCAATAACTGTAAATAATTACTTATACGTACTTGGCACACGCCGTTCGTCATCTGAAGAGTATAAATCATGTTATCGTTTTTCAGCACGTACATGTGAATGGACTAAATTACAAAATCTTTTACATGATCGCTCGCGATTTGCTGCTGCTTACGTTGATTCCTATATTTACATGTGAGTAAAAGAACTTTTCATGAGGATAAAGAAAGACATAGTTCGTTATTAGTATGGGCGGTTTTGAAGGATTCAAACGAACGACACGTGTGTATGTGAATACAATCGAGCGGTATTCAATTGAAGATGATCAATGGGAATCGTTTTCAACGGACGGTCCACAACTTTCTTCGCTTGCTGCATGTGCACATGGAGAATCGATTTTTCTTGGAGGAGGAAAAAACGGACAATGGTTTGTCAAATGCTTCTACTTATCTATTGACAAGGATGACTTACTGAGTTGTTTTATTTTCAGGTCTAAAATCGCTGACTTTTACTGCTTTTCCATCGAGAAACGTCAGTTGGAAAAACGTTCACCAATGTTGAACGCTCGTACTACCCATGCATTCCATCTCTTTGACGGCAAAATTCTCGGTAGAGTACTTTTGTCGCATTTATTTTCAATCGATCTTTTGTCTTCATTTAGCCATCGGAGGATTTGACGATGATGGAAATGGCATGTTATCAATCGAAAGTTACGACATTCACGCCGATCAATGGACAATTCTAACGTCGATTCCAGGCGCTGTTTCTAAAACATGGCCACAATCATTGGGCACTGTCGGTCGATACATTTACATATCAGTCTTCCATACATCGAATTCGTTCATTGTTATGCAAGAAGGTTATTTCTTTAACTTGGATACAAAACAATGGACAAAAGCTCCTGTTGTTCATGAACGCGCCCGATATTGTCCAACGGTTCAATTACGTTTTCCGAAAAACTCCATTAAAACCATTCAGACAACAACCAGCTCGTCAGCATTACCAGTTTCGACTAATCTTTTGCTTATGAATACTTAAATCGAAATATTTCTTTCTTTATTTTGTGATCTTACGACTGCATTGAATAATACATATATATGTTGTCTTTGCTCTTTTCTTTTAGATAATTTCATTTTGTCTTATGATGTTTATTCTTCTTTTATTTCCGTCCTTGAATTTTGTGTTTTTATCGAGATAATGTAAGTAATATTCGTCTTTCGAGAAAGATCCTATCTTTCTGTTGGTCATGTTTAGATTATGGATAATCATTCGTCGTTATCAACTCCAACCAATTTTCTTTTCGAAAATACAAATGGATCAATCTATCCGAATGATTTAGTCTTAAGTATTATTGAAGACGTTTCCACATCGCCGCCTAATACCAATGGTAACCTATCCCCATCGTCGAACACATCATTAGATGTTTCAGCAAATCAAATATCATTTCCTTGTTGTATATTTCGTTGCAAACCAAACTCTCATCCGTTCCAAGAACGATGCATTCCATTACACGAACAGGTGAAAGTAGGACGTGCAGTTGCTCGACTCAAAGCTCTTCCGAACAATGCCATTTTCGATTGCAAAGTCTTATCACGACAACATGCCAAACTCTGGTATGAAAACGGCAAGGTATGATCAAAACTTTTTGACGTATTTCATGCGATTGTTGATGATAAATTTATTCTAGTTTTTACTCCAAGACACCAAAAGTTCAAATGGTACATTTGTGAACAATGAGCGATTAGGGAAATGTAATGAAGAAAGTCCACCATTTGAAATCTTCTCCGACGACATCGTTCAATTCGGTGTTGACGTCACGGAAAATAATCGAAAAAGTAGAACAAATGACTTTCTCATCTTAATGCACTCTTATCTTTTCGTTGTCAGCAACTCATAACTGTATCATCATGGAAGTCAAACTCTTTCACGCCGATGGCAGTGAAGCTTTACCTCGCAGGTAAAATAACTAATCAAATGAGAAATAAACCAAGCTCGTTGATTTGTTCTAGCGCTAATGGCCAATCGTTAGCACAAATCAAAGAATTGGATATCAATACTCAAACTTTATATCAACTAGCACAATACATTCAAGTAAAACACTCTATGGCAATGTTTAATCTCGTAATCAAGTATTTGTATTTGTAGGAGGCTATGAATCGTGAACAAATGTTAGAACAAAAACTTGAATTTCTTCAGGGTGTGCTACGTAATGCCCAACAAACATCGAATGATAGTTGGCAAGCGATCATTAACGAAGATCGTCTTCTCGCACGAATCAATTCACTTGAAGATCAACTACGAATTTATCGTACTAAGGTAGGAGAGAATAACTATGTAGAATAATTTTAAGTACTTTTTCTTTTCAAGCATCCAAATGATGAGTCGATCAAACAAGAATTAGTTCGATTAACGGAGTCACATATGAAATTCGAAGAAGAATCAAAAGTAAGACAAAATTTGTGAGAAGAATAACATTGATTCGTGGGGGGTTTTTTCTATCAAGATGAAACTAGAGAAAGCCTTGCTCGAATGTGCCGATAGTAATAGTCGGAGTAAAGCATTCAAGTGCGCGTTACAGATTGCTCAAGATGAACTAAAACGTTTTGAACAAGACAATCAACAGCATAAACAAGATATTCAACAACTTGTTCAGTCTGTTGATGAACAACGTTCAATGATAGCAGACTTAGAAACGAAATTAGCAGTAAAGTTTTGCATGTATTGTATATTTTGTCAGAGAAAATACCATTGTGCTTATCACTAAGGATTCTCAAACACGATGTACGGAGATCGAAAATGAAAAACAACGAATTCAATCAGATTTCGATGAATACTATCAACGAACACAACATCTAGAAGAATTACAGCAGAAATCTCTTCATCATGAAATTAACAACCATAATCAGCCTGATTTACAGTCTTCCTCGATCAGTGAGATACCAACAAAGTCCATTCTTGTAGCTTTCCTTATCGTTTATGTACAGGTCCCCTCATGGAAAAGAACGATTCCGTTGAAATTCCCATCATGAAAGAAAACGGAGAACATGAAGAAATACATCGTCCAACGATGATCCCATCCAATCAAATCGAGTCAGTTGTGAACCATAATCACAAGGATGAACAGAGCAATGACTTGATCGAAGCACAAAAACAAATTCTTTTACTTCGCGAACAATTAAACGAAGCCAATGGTAAATCAGTTCGCAAGAATCTCATCTTTCTATCATTTTCTTTCTTAGAACATTTGACGTCTACCGAAGATTCGTATCGCAACGAGCAAGAACAACATCGTACGTTGCAAAGTGAACATGATAAAACACGTGATGAATTAGTTGAATTAAAACGTCGTCTAAATCAAGAAAAGAATGATAATCATGAACTAGTTCAAGAACAACGAACTCAACTTGATCAATTATCCAAGTCCATTCTATCAAAGCAAACTGAGCATGATCAATTACTTCGTGTTTATCTATGTTTTTTTCTTTTCTATTATTTGTTCATATTTTTTCTCTTCTTTTCTCTTCTATCATGATGACATGATTTCCTATATTTTCTTTTCTTCTGTGCTGAAACAACATAGAGAAATCTAATTGTATTGCATAAGTAATCTTCACGCTTTATAACATCATTCATTCGATCGGACAGCAGTTCAGAGAAAGATGCACCGTATGACGAGAATGGTAACTCTCGCACGTTGCCATTGATCCACTTAAGCACTGCCTGCCAAGCAATACTATAACCTCATCTATCAAACCAATACAAATATTTGATTTTACCTTCTATATTTATTAAAATGAACAAATCTTTTCATATAGGATCCACTTTATACAATTCCCATAGATCATTCATTAAATCATTCATTGTAACAAGATCGATATTCATATCGAATAATCTCATAATAACGACTCCGTCGCAACGTAGATAGCGTTGACTGAAATTTTTAGTGATCGGTTGATAATCACTACGATGTACGATTTGATTTTCTTCAAATACCTCATCAAGATAATGTTTGGATGAGACGTGACGCAATCGTCGACCGCGCGTATCTTTGACGCGACGATAAAATAGAATAAAACATATCCATTGAATCACCAGATTATAACTTGCGCAGACTAAGAGAAAAATCAGCCAGATATACGCGAATAGAAAGATCTTTTCGTTAAATACATTGATTGGAAGGACGCATTGAACTGTATGTCGATGTTTGTTCTTTCCGAGAAAACGAACGATGAAATCACACAAGACATTGGTTGGAAATTGTAAAGATGTAGGACGTACTGTCGAGCTGTAAATAATCAAACGTTGGAACAACGACTCGAACGTGAAATCGAAATTCATCAGATAGTGTAAACAACTGAATTGAATGAGAATATTGAGAATGTAGAAGATTTTAATTAACAAGTAAAGAAATGTTAGTTTTGGTATTAACGAACGACGACACATGCGAAAATATTGATCGAGACGTGTGGCAACATTTCGGATCAGTTGTCGACGATAACCAGGATGTTCGGTAAGTGAACGACGACTTATCTCTAACTGATCTAAATGTTTTTGTAAACAAATACCAAGGCGGAACGATCCGCTACGCCACAGAAATCCAGGTAAAAAGAAACCGAATGCTTGTAACAATAAGATAAACGGAACATACTGATAGAAACGAACAGCATTTGTACCTTCGCGTGCAGCAAGATCATCGGGATCAGGAAGTTCGGCGTCGATCGAAATATAATAAGTGTCCGATATCCAACAAACAAAATCAGCATAGGTTATATGAGCATCAGTAAACGATGCCGGAGTGAAGCATGAAATAGGTTTGCCTACGAATTGAACTGAAGAAACGATGATAACAAAAACAGTGAATATAAGCACGGAATAATAGCGTGATAAACGATCAACAAAGTCGTCGTCATTTCGAGCAAAACCACAGTAATGTCGAAGAGTTGTGTAAACATCAAACCTAAACAAAATATGCTTATGTACAATTCAGTACTAAAGATTTTCGTCTCCTTTTCTATGTAAGTATCAACATACCTATTAAAACTTAAAAATCTCCTTGCATTTCTAAGCAGTCTCCTTTTCACATTCATCTCATAATATCTTTATCAGTCTCGTATTCTCCTTGTGGTATTAATTAGAAAAATTTTGATCAATTACATTCCATAGGTATATATATTTCTTCCTTAAACGACAGTCAAGTGATGTCGTAACTTGCCGGTACATTTGACTAGATCTTACCTAAGATGTGAACGTTTGAAATATCGCGTCATGCTATGTTTCATTGAGTAAGACCGATGGGCATGTCCACAAAAGTTGTCATTCGCATCTTTTTTTTGACACACTCAATTATTCAAGTTGCATTCTTCGTCGTCTTTTCCATCGATTTTGAAAGCACTCCAGAGAGTCGACTAATGTCTAGTTGCTTTCTCTCATTAAACTTTCTCGCACTTCGTTATCGAAGTTTTCTTTTATATTTTTTCATCAGAAAAGAACAATTAGATAAACCCATTTCTATCGTCTTACTAAACAAAGAAAATGTCTCTTGTCGTTTCGGACATCTAAATCGATTTAGTCAATCTATTTGTTTAACCGACATACAGCTGACATTTCAGAAAGAAGCATTCAAGTTGAAACCAGAGAAACAAAATCATAATTTGCCTTCACACATTCAAATTAACAGATACTTGTTACTTACATGTTGCATCAGAGCATGCGTTTTTAGTTTGACGAACTGAAATCAATTGTGAATGTCATACTAGAGAAAAAAAGCAATTCTTTACCATTCTATTACTGATAATGGATGATCATTATAACTGAAGAGTTTAATCAAAAAGAAACATTTTTCTTACATGCTAAGAAGGGATATAGTCTGCACACTTGAGGATGGATTGAACAGATCTGCATATATATATATATATATGTCTTTCTTTCTGTTTCTTCGACACAAGATCAATGTAATTGCCATAACAAGAGAGGATTCAATCGAAATGAACTTCTATGACACCTTTCCGATTAGTAATATTGTCACGTCGTTTTTGTTCGTCGAAACGCATCAGTATGCGGAATAAGTGAGGAAAAAGGCGAAAGGTCGTCTTTTGACATTAATTATCGTGCCATTACCGAACAAGTTAATCGATTTATTATTGTAATTAATACATTTGTAGCGTTAAATAGCTCATCGAACATGCGCGCGCAAGAGGAAAAAGTGATTATATAAGGTCAGATTCATGTTTCTTTCTGCAAACAATAATAATAAATGTCAAGTAACTAATAGCATATTGAAATTATTCGGACGTCATCGCATTGATGTGATACTGCACAGTTTAATCAAGGATAATCGATTAGTTTCTTGATAGATCAAGCGTGAGTGTCATAACGTAAGATTTTACAAGATCATTAATCATCTACGTAGTTTTATCACTGAAAAATAACAAGGAAAAAAAGAACTACATTCAATTTGAGCTTTTATTTTCCATCCTAGCATTTATCGATTTTAGGTTCATGATCCATAGCGTGATTTTCCTCTTTCACATCGATGTTTGCATCTTCAGCTGTTGCTGTCATCATTCGTTGTTGACCGTTAGCCGCATTCGGGTACAGATCAACTGTATGTGGAATATGTGACAAAGATGTTTCCGATGTTTTCTTTTCGTAACATGCGGAATCATGTAATGGTTCATCAGGAGCTACTGATACGTATGCCGTTGTTTTCCAGGCACTTAAACGTCGTGCATTGAAATCAATTTGACATAAATTTGATACCGAATCAGTTGCAATTGACATAATTGAACCATTTTTTTGCGCACGATCAATGGCCTCCTTGCGTTTTAAAGCCTTTTCACGTCGTAGTTGTTCTTTGTAATATTCCGCGAAATTATTGACGATAATTGGGATTGGTAGAGCAATCACAAGAACTCCACAAACGCAGCATACGGCGCCGATCAATTTACCCCACATTGATTTCGGATAGATATCCCCGTAACCAACGGTTGTCATTGTCTATGAACAAATGCAAAATATATTTTAGATGCTGTTTCGTCAATTAACTTTTAATCACTTACAATACTCGCCCACCAGAATGCATGTGGTATCGAACGAAATTGTATGGCGTTATGTTCTCGTTCAGCGAAATAAGCTAAACTAGAAAATAGGAGAATGAATATGGCCAGAAACATCAATAACATTGATAGCTCTTTGTAACTTCGTCGCAGGGTATAACCTAATGACTGTAGACCAGTTGAATGACGAGCTAATTTCAAAATACGCATTATACGTAGAACACGAAAGATTTGCACAGCTTTTCGTACAGATTTAATGTTTTTAAAATGACCTGTGTCCAATGTTTCGAGTACGATTGAGACGTAAAACGGGACGATCGCAATGAGATCGATAGTATTCAGAACACCTTTGAAGAATTTATATTTATCAGGTGTAGTAAAAACGCGAATAACATATTCAATGGTGAACCAAGTTATACAAATTGTTTCGATAATAAACAAAGATAGCGGTTCACGACATTCACTTGTACTGTCATGATGTTCACTGGCTAATTCTCGTGCTGTTGCTTGTGCAGCGATATGTACAGCATCAGCATCCGCTGATATCGGAGCGATAGGACTCGTTTCTATATCGGATATATTCGGCGTACAGCCGATACCTGAAATCAAACATTTCCAGGTGGCAAAAAATCTAGAATGAAGTTCTCGACAATACCTTCGATAGTACTTATTGTTAACGTAAAAGAAGAAAGAAGAATAAATGAAATGCTAACAAATGCGATAATCTAAATAAGATAATCGAATCAAATTCGAGACAAATGTAATCAGGAAACGGCCTACTCGAGCTGCTTTCGATGTATGCGGGTGTTCGACAAGATCCCAGATTTTCTTTCGACTGTGCTCACACCATCGATCACCGGTCTCTTCTTCTTCTTTTTCGACCTTTAATAAATCGGCTTCTTTTTTCATTTCTTCCAGAACATGATCTTTTCTCTGATGATATTTATTTTGACAGCATAATTCTAAATAATATTCATCGATACCCCAATAAATTAGTTCATCATGAAACGATATCACACATATATCATCGACTAAATGTAATTTTCCCGTTCGATAGAAATTAATCACCGAGGAGAATGTTCGCGGATGTCGATCAAAAAAGTATTCACCAGTTGATGCATCATAGTCATCACATAGACGCATCACTTCATCGTAAGGCATTGAACGTCCTGAATGTAATGCCATTTTACGTAATTTCGCCAAACGACTTAAACGCGTATTTGGAAGACGGGAAAGCGTACGCCATAGAACTACATAGAAGAAGAAGAAGAAGAAAAACGAGAAAGATCAATCGCACAACAGATGTTCTCTTTGCGAAGTCTTACTTTCATGTCGAACACCGCCTACGTTTAGTATCCCTTTACGATTAGTATGTAGAGTAGATACAAAGAGATTATTAGAACAATCGGTAGGTGATCGATTAGTACGTTCACTTGTTCTTGGAGTACCTAATGGCGATGACCTTGCTGATTTCATTTGTCGTTCATCATAATGTGTCATCTCATTATCTTGTACAAGGGCAGCAGCTGCTGTTGGATTTGCGATGGGTAAAGCGGTATTATTTGACCATAAAGTTGTTTTTGATGAATAGTTTAAATCGTCCGAAGAACGTTGATTGGGATTGGTCGGACGCATGGGAGCAGTCAGTGCATCAGGAATCAACGATGTGATCTTATTCGGCAACCACAGAAGACTTCTTAGCTTTTCATGAACAGATGGTTGAGAATGAGAATCACAGTGAAGAGGAGTTATTCTTTTGATTGGCGTTAATCGAATCGAAGGCAATGAGGATGAACTTGAGAAAGGAGAATAGAATTTTTCTTGATCGGACACGTGGGAGCACTGAGTTTCACTTGTAGATGATAATAATGGACTATTTGCTCGATCATTGGTAAGAAATATCGAATTATTATTATTATTATTATTTCCAGAGGAAATGATACTATAACATTGATTTTCAATATCTCGAGCGTTGGAAGTAGAAGTGTTATATGCTGGTGACGATTCGCTTTCCGCTGAAGATGATACCGATGGAGAAGAAAGAGGCGGCGAAGGGGTAAACAACATTATCCAACCGAAAGCGACTTGGGCGACAAGGAAACGACAAAATTGGGTTGTTATTTTACCACTAGCAACGCCGCTATTTCATGGTAATACATCCATACACAAAAGAAATATGTGTGTAAATCAAGAGGATATTATCAGAAAATAGACGAACGAAGCGATAAAGAATGATTTGCTCTATTATTGATGATCTTGTCAAGAAAATCATCATCGTTATCCATTGGAAAAGCTTCATACATCTCTATGCTGCTTCTAGTTATGTGTTCGATTACTTTGATTGAACCGAAAGACAACTAAAAGCAGGCGACAGTGCGTGTCAACAACACTCAATAAAATACATAGAACAACGATGACTCTTCGTTAATCTACGTGTCGTTGCCTCTCGCACACACTCTCTCTCTTTCTCCTTTCTCAAGAGATTGCTTCTTCTATTGTGAAATATTTCCTGCGAGCTCAACATTGTTTTGTTGCATTTGTTCATTAGAGTCAATCAGTTCGTGTCTGTCTATTATTTTCTTTTCATTTCACCTGTCCATCTCAGATAGATAATTTCCAACATCTGTAGACAGGTTTGTCTTTTTCTTTTATTCCCGCTAGCTAGATCTTCTTCTTCTTCTCCTTCGCTCCTTCTATCATTTTTCTTTCGTGTCCTTTATCATTTGTCTGTTCTTATTCGACAGTCGAATGACACAGTTACTTTTGTTGACTATCAGACAATTGTTTCCTCTACAGTTATGATTAATTAATGTAGCTAATGGAAACATGTCCTTAAAATATCTTACCCGTTAGAATAATAATAGCTAGATTATCTTTCGTCCTTTCGCGATTGTTTGTTTATTAGTTTTTTTGCTTATTCACATAATTATGTTGAATCAAAATGTAAAATAGCTGAAGTTATCAAGATCTCGGCGAGACGGAGATGATAGCTCTGTCTGTCATTCTTTATTACCGAATGCGGACACAGTGAACAGATTCAATTAAGTCGAGAGAAAGAAATTCATGATTATTCTTCTCATTAGTACGATCGAGAGATGGAAGACATTTAATCGGCCATGATGTTAATCGTATAATCGAGAAAGAATTGATTGACATGCAATGGGAGGTATAATGGAAATGACGAAGAAAAAGCGACACAACTTCTTATCAGAACACAGTGTGCTTTCAACTAGTATTGATAGATTTTTGACAATTCAAATAAAAAAACGGCGCTAATTTTTTTGCAAGAAAGCAAGTTTGTAACCTTCATCGAACCAGAAGCGATAGCTAAAAATGTCAGCGTCGTATGGAGATATAATTCAAAGCTTAATGCAGCACAAAAACAGATCAATACGACTACATGATAACCTTGTTAATATAGATCCATAACCATTCAGTTAAATTCATATTCTTTCTACGTTGGACTAAAAAGATGTTTCTTCGAGCAAAAAGAACGAAGAAGTCCAGTTAGTCGTTTTCTATTTCTCATATCAGATTTCTTCTTATGTAAACTAAACTAATGCATCAATAAACAATACAGGAAAGATAATCCTATATCTGATAATATACAAACGATGTTCGTGCAGCAATTTTCTTACGTTTGTTCATCGAAATTTACAAAATATATTTGTTGTGCAGAAAACGTCTTGTTGTTCGGATGGTGTCTCGCGACAACTAGCGAATTTCTATCATGTTGGATAACACTTTCTTCTTTCTTTCTCGATTTTATTCACTATTCTATCTTACTGTGCAGATAACTCACCGCAAAAACGATTAAGAATCAATGGATATCGATGAGGTGCAATATTTATCTGAAAATGAGCTTATTTCAGTTGTACCCAATTTCAAACATCCAGAAATAAATCTTATTCGTGGATCTGTCGGACCATTTCTACCTTTGGTTCCATTACAAGTTCCTATGTGGATGGTAAATTCATCTTTGTTACTGTTCTGATCCTAGTCTCTTTCTTTCTTCTAGGCTATTCATCTCAAAGAAAGTCACCGTTGTCGATTCGTTTGTCCTGAATGGTTAACATTTGATTCCGTACAAGAATTACTCCGACAAGAACAACAGCAAGAAACATTTACGCCAATGCCAAATCCATATGTCTTTATATTATCTCAAACAATCATGAATGTTGCCTTAGAAGACATTCCAAATGGTGATCAAATTCGTTTACTGATGAAAGATCTATGGGATCTACGCTTAGCGAAATTACGTTCATCTATTGGTAATTTAGCACGCAGTGGTGCTCTCTATGCTAAAGTGACGCATTTAACTCAAGTGGAAATATGTCTGATTAGAAATTTTCTCAAAACATCATTGAAACACATTGCACAATTACAAGATGCTGTGCCAGACGAATAAATCTGTGATTATCATTCGCATAGTGCGAGACTTTTTAAAGAGGAAATAAATAATATTGACTACTTCTGTAAAGTTTATCATGTAATAGAGTTCACTTTATTGTAAGATATAAAAAAAACGAAAATAATCATCATCATCACTGAAAATATATACGTGTACAGGCTTTTTCGAAAAAATCACTGCGAAAAATAAAATGGGACGGGGCTATATAAACAGGGACAAGTCTGTTAGCTATCTATCTATGATAAGCACGCCAGTGTTTTTGTAAAATTTAACGAATAATCATTCCATGGTTGGGATGAATCTTCTTTAGAATCTTTCAAGAATGAAAATCGAAATATACCAGAAGATTTTGTTGTTATTGTTGTTTGCTCAACTATTTCATCTTCACTGTCATCATCATCAATTTGATTCGAGAGGAGTGTTAAATTGTATTGTGCATTTACATGCCCTAACATAGCTGCTTGACGATAATAATCACACGCCTAAATTAACAGATACAAGGAACATGCCAAATCTATTTTATTCTAAGATGAATCTTACTTTAGCTCGATCTGCTGCGACACCAATACCTCGTTCGTGACAGATACCGAGGTTATACAAAGCTGCAGCATTTTTACCACTTTTAGCACTCGCTTGAAGAGCTTCGATGCCAAGCTGGACGTTTCCCGATTCGATGGCATCGAGAGCCATTTCATTTTGAATGTTTGCCATTGTTTCTTCGTTTAACTCAGCAAGAGCTTTCACTGCCGTCATATAACCTTCATCTGCTTGAAGCAATGAAACAACAGGATCTTCTTTGGGTGCAGGCGTAGATGCAGGAGGTGGAGAAGGCAACGGTTGGTTTTGTGGAACAACATGTTCAATTTTCGGAAGCGTAATTGCTTTGAATACGCACGGTTTACCGACCAACTAAAATGTTCATTAGAAAATGATGATACATTTCGAAATCGCAGAAACTTTTTACTTCTCGAATTGCGACTTTATAGGCATACTCGATTAGTCTCTGGAAATTGTGTGGTAAAAATTTGTTGGTTTTAATAATCTGATCAATATCAGATTTATACTCAATTGGAGGTTTTAGTTGCCTAAAGAAAGCAGAACTATGAAAACTTTGAATTTCATTTGAACATTAAAAACGTACTCTTTTTGTTTCGATTCGTCATCTTTTTTACAAATCGTTGCAATCGGAACGATGATATCTTGCGGACAACGATGACTTGTTACATTACGAAAAGCACGGTAGAGGCAATTAGCCAAACGCCACATGATATGAATATTTCTTGCAGGTTACGAAACGATATTCGTTACCGTGTTAAGGAAAAGCCGCAGAATAATCAACGGCTTTTCATTGTAAAAAAAGACGAGAAAATGAAATCTAAAAATGAAGAATAAAACGAGCAAATAATCAGGTGACGCTGTTGAATAGAGAGGAAAAAAACAAACGAATGTCTATGCATACAGGAGTATTTTTGGCCTGTTTCTTTGTGTAATAAGCCACGCGAGAAACTGACGTCATGTGTTTTTTTTCTCGTCAGCAATAAAAAGGAGGATAGCAAAGAAAAAGACGTCTATAGAAACAAAAAGAGAAATCAGGTTCTACCCAGATTTGAACTGGGGTCGCTGGATTCAAAGTCCAAAGTGCTAACCGCTACACCATAGAACCACGGTATACTGTTTTCACGAACTGCTACTTATCCTATTCAGACAGAAGAGTTTATCTCTTGACTAATTCTGTTATGAAATAATCACAACCATGTATTCAACATTGACTAATGCATTTCCGCATGAATCTCTCTCTCTCTCTCTTCCACATAGTTTTCATTGTTATGTAAATTCTATTCATATCGGTATGGTATGTATCAGAGAAGGTTCTGTTTTTTCTTCTGCGTGAATTCCATCTCGTCCATTCAAACTTTCAAAGTCGACGTGTTCCTTTGAAATTGTTGAACAATGTTGCAATAACGTTCTTTCTTTTTTCTTCTCAACAGATGTCACTTATAAAAAGAAAAACATTTTTGAAATATATCTCTTTTGAAAAATTTCAATACGGTTTTCTTTCCTGAAAAGAAAAACAAATTTTTCATTCGAGATATATTTCAGTATGACAATGCCATTGGATCTCGTGTCTTCTTTTTCCTTCATAATCAGCTGTTCTTCTCTTTTAGAATGTTTTTTGTTTGTTGTGGAAACATGCATCGAAGCATATTTCTCTCTAATCATTTCAACATTGAAATAAGAAAGAAAAAAGGAAAGGAGAAAAACGACCTCTTTTCTGTGTTGTCATATTTGTCATAATACCTCAAGGATTTCTGCAATCTTTTTTCAAACTTCGAACGAACCGCTTCTAGATTGACATGTTGGTTTTAGATTGAACGATGCTATCATCTTTACAAACATCTGCAACGATGGTAAATACCCGGGATTTTCTTCTTTTCGCTTCGACATCGTTTCGTTTAGATCGACGATCGAACACTTCGAGCGTATCTACGTAATAATTCGGCATGGAGTTTAGATGAAAGTGGACCGGGACCATCAGTAGATCAACTTAATCTTTCATCGAGCGGTCATGGTGATCGGTTTCTTAATAGTAGTGTGCATTTTCCTGCAGAAATGAGGTTAGAAATTGGCATATTCGCTACTGAACAACATAAGCATTACTCTTGTTTTTTAGATCAGCAAACTTAAATGACATGGTCTCGAGCATCATCGACGAAAATGCGGAGTATCATCACCATGGCATGGTACCTATGTTTCCACCGTATCAATCAACTTGGTCTAATGCCGAGCAATCTGATCTGAATATGCAATATATGCAACATATCAAAAAGTAACAAGAGATAATGAAAAGTATCAATTTCACTAGAGATTTGTCTTTAGTATGAATTCTTCACACCAAGCCAGATTTGCTTCATCGACTTTGTCTGAAAGTGGTCATCCACGAAATATTCCAGGTAGACATTGTCTCGGACGATTGCTTATTTCGAATATCGTTCTTTGATTAGATTCATGTTCGATGCATCCGATTCCTCCCAAAGATATTCAAGTATTGATTCGTAAAGGTGATCATAATGGTGTCAATTCTCTGATTACAAATGTATCTCTACAACAATTTCGTCAGATGATCGGTTTACAATACAGTTCAGGCGTCGGATCTGGTACCGATCGTCGATTACTCTCGTCATCGTCACGTACATCAAATGTTCGACGTCCTTATTCATTAGCAAATCCGAATCATCCACCACTTTCGTCTTCTTCATCGAGTTCTTCATCATCGCTGCCAACACCCAATACTCGTTTAATCAATACATTAAAACAACGATCACCAGAAGCGATATTTTTTCCTAGCAACGACCCTCAATATTTACCGATGTCTTCTCGTATGTCATCGATCAGAGATTCTACTTTCATTCAAATTGAAATTTGATTTTAGACGATGCTTTGTCTATGAATTGTTCTGGTGCTAATGGAACTACACCCATGACCGATGCTATTTCGAATTCACCTGTAGCAACTTGTCAAGACATCAGGTATGAAATAAATGAAACTTTTTTGGAGATATTTAGTATAATCTTTTATTTAGCTATTTTCGATCTAACAGGTAGTTATCCTTACGTCATTGTCACATCTGCACACTGATTTGATAGTTTCTTCTTCTATCCTAATTGACTTGTTTTTCCTAATAAGGTTTCATTTTGATAAAACTTTTCTTTTTTCTACATTTTAGACGAACAGGAGTGGCAAATACATTACGTAAGTTGATTGCATAGCTCGACAAACGTTTGAAATGATTATTTTGATATATTTAGATATTGCTATTGAAAAATGCTACGAACAATTGAATTACATTCGTGATAGTTATGCTGAAGTAATATTTCTATACCAATACGTGTGAAAATATGTTTCTGTATCCTTTCTTCCAGACGGAATCAAAGGTTGGAATTCAAACTTTACATAAATCTTCTTCACCATCATCAATCAATGATATCACAAATGCAAATTTTTCTACTCTATCAAACAACCCATCACGTGTCGATCGCCTAATTGCAGAATATCATTACGAATATACTCGAGTAAAATCTTCTTTTCGTTCATATCATTTCAAAGGAAATCATGTTTCTTCTCCGAATAGATCGTTCGTTTACATGAACGTATCAAAGAAAATCTATCAATGCAAGATATCGAAGCCACCCGACAAACACTTGATGAATGGTTTAATGCAATTAATAATGTACAGGACCGTCGTCGACAAGAGATCGATAATGCAGCAGAAAAGTGTCGTTCGGGCGAACCACGGCTGCCCGATGAAAAAGGTTAATCCTCAAATTTGACATTTATCTCTTGCAAACTCGAGTTTTATGTTCTAGATGTTTTACAATTAGCTGAAGCTTTACGCATTTTACGTATCACAACACGAAAAATCCGTACGGTTCTCTGGTACTGGTTGTATTGGTCAACAAATTCTACGACGAACAAAATTCCTTTGATTGCTCGTCATCAAGATGAACAAATCAATGGTGAATCATATCCGACCATACAGGTTAGTTTCATTTGCTTTAAATCCATGGAATTAGAAAGACATTCTCTTTAGAATACAAGTTACAATCTCTTTTATCCTACGGCGAATACAGATGACTTGGATGCTGATGAACAACAAAGAAAAGTTTCCATGAAACCTTCGATATCAACCAATGAAAATAATAAGGAAAATGAATGTAACGAATGAGAGTTCATTTCATTTTTTTTTATTCTTATGATAATCTCGAAAAGCATTTTGTTTCCTGTGTTCTTATGTGATTTAACCCGTCCATACGTAGATATGCATTTTTTTGTGACAAAGAGAAAACGAAAAGCTTGATCTCACATAGTTTGCTTTTTCGTTTTCTTATTCCGGTAGTTTGTATATACAGATTTATCGCTATCAGAATCGTTCATTGGGCTTTTTTTGTGATAGGAACAGTTGAGAATACTGTCATATTAATTTGTTGCTGTTGTTGTTATTCTTACACTTCTCACTAGTCGTTTTTTTTTCTGTTTTATCTCTTGTATTCAAAATTGAGGAAAAATATGATTCACAACGCGTCCGGTGACGTTTGTGTTTGTTTATTGAAATGATTTTTCTTCTCTATTTCTTTCTTATTCTGGCTATATCAATCTTTATTTGTTAGATTTTTGTTTCTTTATTCAATCTTGACGTAGTTCTATGTGTGTATCTAGAAAATAAAAGGATTTCCATGAGACCTCAAATTCATATCTAATTATGATGAGTACAGTGATGACGATACTGGAGAAACAACCCAGACAATGTAAAGCATGTTCCACCGCAAATGAAAAGAATTGCTGCTCGAAGTGCTTCGGCGTCGTTAGTGTTCAATGCCGGAAGGAAGAAGATCGTGCCAATGAAATAGAAAAAACCACCTATACCAGCAAAGCCATCGACGCCTAATGCTGGGATATCATTTAACATATTCGATAGACGAAACTGATGGTTCTGAGGATTGTGAGGATCTGTACATGCAGAACGATAAACTTTCCAACCTTGTGAAACATAGATAAATGTCGAGCCAATGATGAAGAACCATTCACCGAGAACTAACTCATTTTTGAACGTCGGAATGAACAAAATTGAACCGGCAAGGTAAAGTGCAGATCCACAAGCTGATGTAAAAAAATTCAAACCAACTTCCGCTCGTTCATAACGGCCGCCAAATGTGTCCGGTGATTTCTGAAAGCGGTGTGCATTCTGACTTTCCATTGTTGCTCGATATTTATGATCGAAACAACAACCCACTCGATAATACCACCATTCCTGTAAATCAGCAAGTAGAAAGAAAAAAGAACCGATTGTGAATAGCCATCCACCAATGGATAGTGCTGATGAATAATTATTGTATACACTCGGCAAGTACATACATGATCCACTAACGAAAGTCAAACCACCGATCATATAATGAGTGCCGTGAAATAATCTCCATAGTGCTGATTGCGGTCGTTCAAGAACGTTATCCCCAGGATATCCAATTAAACGTGCTTCTTCTGTAGGCGATGACATCTTTGTATTGATAGTTTTCTGACCGTTGTGAAATATAACGCTAGTATCAACTATTTACCTCGAAAAGTAAAAACAACGCCTTGGTGTCTCTGTTTTTTTTTCTTCTTCTCTCTCGCATATTATTGGAAGAAAACGGAGTAAAGCAGAAAGGAGAAAAAAAACAAACCTAAAGAAGAATCTACGTCATAACTGTTGCGCGCATGTGTTTATCTCTATATCTCCTTAATACATTTTGACATTATTTTATGTATGAATATGTCACAGCCTGTGCGAGAAGAAAACGAGAGACAAAAGATGTCATGCCGTTTTCACTCGCCCGTTTGGTTTCTTATGTTCGCAAAGACGAGATTATTTTTGGATAAAATACGAGTATGCCAACACGAAAAATATAATACAGCCAGAAGCCATCGTTAGTCGAAGGATTGCAATGGCAAGCTTGTTTTTCGTTCGTCTCCATGTTAATATAACGTTTTCTGTAATCAATAGCTATACTAAATCGATTTAGTCAGTACCGATCGTAATGAATGATATGTTATTATGATCCATATAATTGTAAATGTTTATTAGCAAGTTATTTTCATTTCATATTACCTTTCTACTGTTGACAAAAGGTTGATGTACTGTATACCTATGGCGAACTTATTTAACTTTCCTTGCAAAAATGTCATCATTCATTGCGTATGGGTTTAGATACGAAGTGCATTATGTATCGAAGTTAAAGTAGGATCATCTGACAAGGTGATCATCATGTTCTCGCAAGCAATGAATGGGAAGTTTCACTCATGGATACGGATACTTGTTCATCGTCGTGGAAATGAACAATTGATTACCCACAGATTAGCAAACATCTTCTTTCACTGAGATAAAAGCAAAAAAGTCATGTCTTCATTCCATTCTCGGCACGAAACGTACCTAATAATTGAATTTTCTTTCTAATCAATATCGATTAATTCATGAAGGACGATTCATCTGTAATTTCATTCATCGAGCGTTTGAAGTTAGACCTTGATAAGAAATGCGAACATTCCTAACAGCAGAAAGTCTCTTCAGACGAACGCATTATTGAATTTTCTGTAGATTGGCTCAATAGGTGATTTTTTCTATTACGTCAATCGACTTCTATTTAAACAAAGTATCATATGCAGATTTCTTTGCACCAAACAAAGCTGATTAAAAAGATCTGAATCTATCGATTCATTCCGTTGAATGCTCTTTCTAAATCTATTTACCTTGTTCATGTCATTCTTTTCTTTATCATCTTCGTATCTCTAGTCCTACACACTGGTATATACAAACTAGATAGGGATTAGTCAAATTTTGTATGTCATTCGTTGTTGATGATTGAATTATACCCGAACGAATAAAACAATGGATGAGATAGACATCAGCATTTCTCCTTGATTCATATGTCTATCAACATTAAATCAAAATCGAAATAAACTAACCAACGTCGTTAACATTTGCAATCAGAACAGAGAGGATATGGATGATATTGAATATCCGGTATTCAAGCCTATTGACGGACCTTGGATCGCTCTACTTGTCATCGGCATTTTAATGTTCATTTCCTCAGCTATTGGTATTGTTTTACTCTACATTGTCTGGCGTCGATTTAATCAACAATCGGCACAACCAACGAAAAATGTCAATTATGTTGTAAATAGTAAACCTAATGGTAACATCTCGATTCCAGTACAAATCAATGCTGCTCCATCACAAACTTATGAAACACAAGTATATAGTTTTGCGAATGGACATGTTCCATAAAGATGATTTTCTTGTAGAAAATGGAACTGTACGTGCCACAAGTTGATGATATCGTTAACCAACGAAACTTCGATGAGTTTTATCCGAATTTCAATTCTGGAGATGCAATTCAAAGTGTACATGATACCTACCAAAGGTAAATGATTCCTACTGAAATCAGTTCATCTGATTGTCCTTCTTTCCCTTCTAGAAGCAGAGCATACTTTTGATTCATTTCGGTATTTACGCGATGAATTATTCAAAATTCTTTTCTTTTATTTACTTGTGAACTAAGATCATTATGTATTAATTTTTTCGGTCGACGTTTTTTTGTTTTTCTTTTTCAATAACCCAAAGCAAATATTATTTTATATGCAGCAAATATGCCAATAGATGTCTTCATTTACGTTAACTGTCAGATGTCATTTTCTACATCCATCATCTGGTCTATTATGATCAACTAAATGAAAAACAATACAAATGCTAATACATTCTTTTTTCTTCATCTTAAGAATGTCATCGAACACTTTGATTGCAACTAAAAGATCTCAAGCTGCTTATCTGACATTTTTTTGATGACATTGATTCGAGATATGAAAACCCCGAACCGTTCGCTTCGATATTTCAACAAAGGAACTTCTTTTCATCTTCTTCAAAGAGTTTTCCTTTGAGAAATTCATGTGGAATATACTTCAAAATTCCATTTCTGCTAAACTATTATCAGCGAAGCGAGAAGAGAGGAAAAAATCCTCTTTTCAAATAAATGATGCATCACTGAGTAGTGTGTTTTTCCCACATATTAACACAAATTACACGGTAAGACTTGCACAAATCACCTGATTACTGTTTTTATGCTATTGAAACGCTTTAGCCTTGTTATTTACTCGATGGTGATCATAATAGTTTACTAAAATACCTATAATTAAGTTCTTCCTAATTAGTAGATGGATTTTAGCAGGATTGTGTCAAACATAATTGAATTAATTTTCTTTCGTCTTCGAACTTTGACGAGATTAGTTGTCGTTTAGGTTTCGATGAAGACAAAAGAGAACTTTGACGGCATGCATTTTGTGCTAGTCACTTAGTGTACTGAACTACTGCCAATCAACAAAAGCAAAGACATAAGGGAAAGAGAGAGAGAGAGAAAGGAAGAAAGCGAGGGGGAAATAGAAGCGAAAGTGATCCTGGAAACAACACGGGAAATAGTCTGGATGCTCTGTTGCACCCTTTTCATTACTTGTCCGCCACCAAAGCAGTGATGAAGACGGAAGCAAAGGGAATCAACATGGAAGAGGAGAATGAGAAAAGAGCAGGATGGAAAAAGAGGGAAGAGCGAAAAAACGCGTTTTTATTGATGAACAAAGGAAACTTTATCTTTTGCCTCTCATTCAGCAGACTGTTTTGCAGTATATTCGGCGATAGTATGCGCTCTTTTTTGCTACAATTTGCGACCGTCCATGACTAGCGTAAAAGGAAGAGAAAAAGAGGAAGAGCGAGAGAGCGAAATAGGAGAAGGAGAAAATAACAGAACAAGGAAGGGAGGGAGCGTAAATGTAAAAGAAATTCTCTTCTTTATGTGCTTTTCCATCACAATCATCACTAGTTCTCCAGCTAACATTAGATTTAGACTAGGAAAACATGTGTTCGAGAGGGTGAAAGTTAGACTTAAGACAGAAAAAAGCAATCGTAATCTTAATGAAATCCGTACTTTTTCTTCATCTTCTCATTATTGAAGCTTTTAGACATCGACATCTATGGTTGGTATGCCAAATCGTGATGGTGAACAGGGAAGTGAATGAAAATAAGAAGAAAAAAAGGCCGACTTGCGCACTCTCCATTACCAGTACACGACCGCAAATGCTCAAGTGAGGAAGTTAGGCACGCTATGCATGCACGGCATATAAATGCATAGAGCTGAATCATATTCATGTCCTTGCCTCTCGTATTTAATGATGTCAACGGCAGATTCTTGCATATGTCTGACTGTTAACGTTACTCTGAAACAGTCGTCTGAGTATATCTTTCTTTTCTTATTTTTTCCTCTTCATCATATCATTAGATCTGTACAGAATTTCTCTTGATTATGCTTATCCAGTGTTGCCAGAGCGGACGCTGTGCGCATTCGCATAGTTTTTTTTTCTTCTGTATTTTTTTTCCTAGATGCAATTTTCTCCGTCCATCGATGTCTATTAAAGTATATATTAACTACAGAGAGATGCCACCGAGCATCATCGTTTGACATTAATCGAGCGGCTGTTTGTCATTTCCACATATTTTCCTCTATTGAAACATGTAATGAGCATTCATCTATATACTCTTCAAACTAGCTAATGATTCGAATGATGACAGACGTTTACCGGTCTTCACATTATATTTATTTCATATTTTGCCTCATTGTTTATCAACATGTTTTTTATTCTTCGGGAAAATTTTGACAATAGTAATAATCATCCGAACTGATGATATCCTTCCGCTTTTCATTCTTAGTTTTACTTACTTTTGCCTACTCAACTTCTCCTATGTCATGCATCAATTACAAGTTAAAGAATCTGTGTTCTCCACCTGATTACACGGAAAACAAATTTTCCCTTTTTTTCTCTCCACCTCTTTTTTTCTCTGCTGCAGTCCTCTTTTATATTTTCTTTCTTCAGGGTTTCCCATTTTTGCGCACATCTCCTTCTCTCTCTCTCTCTCACTAATACAAAGTTTTTTTCTGCTTCTCTTTGTTATATATGTCTATATGTAAGGGTTAAATGAGAAAGAAAGACTACAACAAGCTTTTCTAGTTAGAACATACACGTCAACGATTTAATCTCTTTATTTTCGTTGTTCTGCTCTCTTTTTCTGCTACTTCCCGAGTTCTTCTCTTTCACTCTTATTCTCATCCCTGTATGCCATTATCAATTCCGCTTGGTTAAATTGAACATGCTCAGGGACGAGACTATCTGTGTGTTTTGTAACAAATACTATAATTACGTTAGCAAGGTAGGTTGTTAATAAACATCGAGAAGAAGAAAAAAACGTATGTTTATGTTATTTAAAAACGGAACAAATGCTTTTCATGCTTTCTATTTGGCATTTACGAGTGTAGTTCTGCGGATGTATGCTTTAAATAATTGACGTATTAAAAAGAAAAATAGACCTGTCAATATATGACACTTTATCTTTTCTCTACTTTATACACAGAAATCTGGGCAGCACAGTTGAATACTAGTCTGTATGTTGGGTAAACGTTCGATTGTTTTCGAGTTGAGTTGTCATTGTTGGAGACCTAGGGACAATTTACCGATAATAGTCGCCGCCGTTATTGTTGTTATGTTTTTTTTCACATTTTTAATAATAATTCTTTCCTGCAGATTCAACCTTAAGAGAATATTATTAAGGTGATAAAATCTCTGTCGATCTTAGTCGGAGATGAGTATTTAATGAGCTTTTTTCTTTCACTTATTGACATTGAGTTAAAATACGTGATTGAGATTAAATGAAGAGATTGATGAAAGAGAAACTTTCTCGTCTGATTCTTTTTCCACAAGTAAAACGCCTCTATTTTCCTCCTTGTCGATCCCGATCAAGTATATCCCCCATCAAAAGATGTGTAAATAAAATACACTCGCTTTTTTATGTCGTTTTTCATCATCAGAAGAAGAAAGTTTCATTCTCAATCATCCGTTAAGATTATATCACTCCATCACCATCATTTTTCCTTGTGTATCGTTTTCTGACATTCGTAATTGTTTTGGATAGGACGACTTGGTTGTAGCTAATTCATCTCTAAGCTACATCAATCATTTCGGTGTCCCTATTCTCTAAAGGCGTAATGCAATCAAAACGAGAGTTTGCTTTTGTTCTAGATTACTTTGCTGTTGTTGTTGACCGATGCTTTGCATGACAGGCCACACGTCAGCTATATGTATGAATACACCATAAACTTGTGCTTGTTACGTTTTGATCGAGTCGGTCAGAACATCTACATCGATGTGCTGTTCGTGCAAGCATATTGTGAAAATTTCTTGATAGTTGTTGACGTCTATCGCATGGCCGATGCCGATAATCGGGTTATTCTAAATGTTGGCGGTATTCGCCATGAAACCTGTAAGTCAACGAAAACATTTGCTTATTTGAATGGTGACTTTGACTTCTTTGTTTTCCTAGATAAAGCTACACTGAAAAAAATTCCAGCTACAAGACTCTCCCGTCTCACCGAAGCTCTATCGAATTACGATGCTGTCCTCAATGAATTCTACTTCGATCGACACCCAGGTGTCTTTGCACAGATCTTGAATTACTATCGCACTGGCAAATTACACTATCCGACTGATGTCTGTGGTCCTCTTTTCGAAACTGAACTTGAATACTGGGGACTTGACGCAAATCAAGTTGAACCTTGCTGTTGGATGACATATACCACTCATCGGTAGGACGGAAGAAAAACTTATGGATGATTAAGCAAACATCATGTTGCCTCTTGTAGGGATACACAGGACGTTCTTGTCGGTCTTGATCGTTTGGATCTCGATGCTGAACCCATCACCGAAGAAGAGATTCCACATAAGTTTGGCTGGGATTACGATCCAACTATACGTCATAAGAATATGAGTTTACAAGAGTATATGAATTCATTACCATGGTACACGCGTTTACAGCCACGTATCTGGCAATTATTTGAAGAACCATATTCAAGTAGTGCAGCAAAAGTATGCTCTTAGTTGTGAAGTTGGTCTCATTTTAAAAAGAATTAATCTTCTTCTAGGCTATACAAGTTGTTTCAATCTTCTTTATACTTGTTTCTATCATATCATTTTGTTTGAAAACTCATCCGACAATGCGTGTACCAACGATAGCATTCGTGGAAAATAATTTTACCAATATCACACCAACATACACGTTGTATAAAGAACGAACAGAAGCTCACGAAGCATTTCAGTATATTGAAATAGTATGCAATGGTAAGAATTTGCAATAGTGAACGTCTTTTATCTTAAACCGACGTTCTAATCTGTTCTAGTTTGGTTCACATTTGAGATTATAACACGCTTTATAGTCTCACCCAAGAAATGTGGCTTTGTTAAATCACCTGTAAATATCATAGACTTTCTTGCGACCTTATCATTCTATCTTGACATCTTATTCAATAAATTCCTCCCGCCGTCATTTACTAACACGGATTTATTCGAATTCTTTTCTATTACGCGTATCTTTCGTCTATTTAAATTAACTCGTCATTATGGAGGATTAAAAATTCTTATACATACGTTTACTGCGTCGATGCGTGAATTGATGCTACTCATCTTTTTCCTTGTCCTCTTTATTGTCATCTTTGCATCGCTAATTTATTATGCCGAACGTTTACAGAAGAATCCAGACAATGATTTTACTTCGATACCCATCGGGTTGTGGTGGTCGATCGTAACTATGACTACCGTCGGTTACGGCGATATGGTACCGAAAACGTATGTCGGTATGATGGTCGGTGGACTTTGTGCATTGACAGGTGTATTAACGATTGCTTTGCCCGTACCTGTTATCGTAGCTAACTTTGCAATGTACTATTCTCATACGCAAGCACGATCAAAACTACCGAAAAAACGGCGGAGAGTAATGGCTGTAGAACCTGTTCGACCGGCAAGAGGCCCAGGAGGTGCCGGCGGTGGGCCTGGAGCTGGACCGGGTGGTGCAGGTGGAGGAGCAATGAACAAATTTGGCATGGAAGTTGGCATGGGTGGCGGACCCGGTGGACCACCTGGTGGAGGCCCTAAAAAGAATGTCATCAAACAAGGAGGTGGTGGTGGCATGGCTGCTAAACTTGGTATGACTGAGAATAATATCGTTCACAATCGCATTGGTAAGATTTAACTTCACAGATTCAATGAGACACACATACATCATTTATCTCGATCAGAAATAAGATCTCGTTTCGACGGTTGAGCCTTAGTATCTAATATCTTCTATTTAGTTACCAATAGTTTTCAAACATTCCTCGAAGGTATACTACTACTGCTTTAATCTACTCTTCTTCTTCTTCTTCGATCAATATATCTGTATATATTTATATTTATATGCCTCATTTTTATCTCCTTCTGCTATTCTCATAGTACACTCTTGTGTGAATATATCGCTACTAATTAATTTAAGAAAGAATAGAGACGATGATTACTCGTTCAATTCTGCAGGATTTAGATATTCCAACTAGAATGAATTTTCTTTTCAATCTAGTTCATATTTTATCCATTTACATAGGACATGGTGATGAAGAACGTATACCAATGATTCAACCGAGTCCGAGATTTAGTAGCCATCATCATGTGGCTAAAGTTTAACTACTAAAAACTAACATTCACTAACTCATATAAGGATCTCGGATCATTTGGATGTCTAGGTACGAACACGAAAATTGCATTTACTGCCCGTTTTCAGTTCCGTTTCGTTCGACTACTATAACATGCACTGATATGGTTTCTCCTTTTTTTGTTTTGAACTTACACATGCACGATATTTTTCAATATTTGCTTCCTTTTTATGATTTTCCTGAAGGAAGAAAGAGAGGAGGAGAGAGATATATTTAATTGAAATCAGGGAGAAAATCGAATTTGTATATATGGTTTTGATCACAACTCTATTTCTTTAGAAGATCATGCATTGTGATATTAAAACTAAAACATTGTAAGTTTTAGCAGATATATATTCTTGTTTTCTACCTGTTTTTACTCTCTCTCTCTCTCTCTCCTCTCTTTGTCCTTCAGTCCTGACGTTCATCACATTTTCACCCGCATGAAAAATTTATCTATGATAGTATATCATTTTGTTGTCGTCGTCGTAATTATTTGCCCGTTATTGTTCGTGATATTTCTATTTTCTTTCGAATGAGATCTATTTTCATCAAGAGTTTATCGTTCGTCTTATTGTAGAAGAAATGGAAATGAAAATAGGAAGTGACAACACGTCGCCAATCAACAATAGCACAAGTACGATCGATAATCAGAACGATGGTCAGCAACACAGACAACGTTCATCACCTCGCGTTCAATCATCACGAACAGTTCTCACCGAAGTGGTTTCTTGAATCATTTCTTTTGTTTTTCTTCTCCTCTACATTGTTTTGATTTATTTATTTGGTGATGCTACTAGTCAACGTGCCCTTCTCGTCAACATTTGAACAAACTTAAACACGTGAATGCCGTCCTCTACAGCTTCTATTGTCATTTCTCGAGTTCCTTTTTACATTGTTGCCAATTGTGATTATTCCTTCTCTTTCTCTCAAAACAATTGTTTTCTTTTCTCATTTCATAACACGCTTGTTTCTGAGAGATAAATNGTGGCCGTGAGTTATGAGTTGAACGATCTGAAATCGACTCAGCATATATTTATTTCATCGTGGCTATCGAATAGATACCCGATTTTGGTGAGACATATATGTCACTTGGTAATTTGATTAAATGTTCAGACGAATCTGATGGTAATTTCCCTCTGATTCAGTCTTGACGAAATTCTTTTTTTCCCTTTTGTACAATTTCATCAAAAATGAGAATAACGCTATGGAAAATAAAATATTCCATGCTATATTTGATGCACTTTCATCTACTTGTCAACGTAACTCATTTGTTTCTTCTGTAATCAATTGCATTTTTCTGAAACGTTTTGTGAAGAATTTGAAATCAACTGATTCATCGTAATTATTTAGAAGAATTCAATTAAATCTAAGCATTCTTCGAAAAATTTTCATTCGATGATATCGATCAAACCTTTCCTCTTAGAAATATATTCTACTTCATCGAAATTGTGATACAATAATAAGTCCGAAGAAGATCTCATGAGTTCAGTTGTAGAGAGAAATATTGCCTGGACATCCTCAAAACCAAGACTCATATGAACTTCGAAGCTCAAAGTTTCAAAATTGAATACCGTTTCAATTCTCGTTTTCTCTGGTGCATATGATTTCAAGCGTTTATTATTTTACAATGAAGGAAATGAATGCATCTATTGTATGTGAACAATTGTATTACATTGATTATCCTGCATGAATTTGTTAATGTGGAAAACATTGTGTCAACTAGATATAGATATCCAGCGTAAATATGAACAGGATGTGTGATATAAATGGTGATGAATTGGCCAATTACGTTCTGAAGTACTTTTTATCACTGAAGGAGAAAAAGTACGCTGACAATGAGTGCACTTGCACAACAAACCACGAAATAGACATGAGTAACGACACGAACGAACACTTTGTCAAAAAGACAGTTGTGTGAGTGCGCCTATTCATAATTATAACATTCAGAATGAAAGAGAAAATTTGCCATTCTTTCTATTCCATTGTCATCTGTCGAGAAATATGGTGCAAAAAACAAACTTATTGATTTTATCGGCCATATCAATCAGATAAAAGATGATATAACTATGTGAATATGATATAATCAATGCCATTGAGAAGTTAGAAATCGTTTTGATAAATCATAAAACCCATATCAACTGTTCAATCGAAGGATTTACCCGATGAAATTCTTCTAATTATTTTGAAAAAAGTGTAAAATGTTAAAGTACTTGATGCTTTGATAGATGTGTGCACAAAATTGGATGGGATTGCATGTGATCGACCCAATCTTCTCAAAATGTTTATCACTGGTGAATGATTCGCCAAGCAATTGACTCGCTCCATTACCGGATGTATTTCTAAACCAATGCTGTTCGAAAGTTCTACATAGAATCCATCATGACATTCAACGACTATCGAACGTATACTTCGATAACAAATGATCCTAATTTACATGTACTTGGTTTATATGAACTTTATGGAGAAACAGCTCGGTTTCTTTTCGTCGGAATACCATGTTTTTGGTCGAACGACATTTGGTCGACGAAGTTTTGTCGACAAAGTTTTGTCGAACGTCTTTTTTGTCGAAAGTTTTTTTTGTAGAAGACCATTTCGTCGACAGAATACTTTGTCGATAAGACACTTTGTCGAATGTTTTTCGTAGAAAAGCATTTCGTCGACACAATATTTTGTCGAATTATATATTGTAGAAAAACATTTCGTCGACAGAATATATTGTCGATAGCACATTTCATCGAAGGATCATTCTATATTGTTCTTTTCATTTGCTCATTAGTCAGGGCACGGTTCAGTTTTCTCTAATTATCTTTATATGTTTGATAAAGGAATAAAATATTCGAAATTAGAACAATAATCCAATATTCTATAAATAATGATCATCTACATCTGTATTTGACATTTACACTTTTCTGTTTCTGCTTAACATTATATTACAACTCACTGACCATTTACTGAATATGCGTGACAATGATGTGAAGTTTTCCACGACATCAAAACGAAGAGAACTACTAATACGTAATGGCTACATGTACACTTTGAATAAAAATAAAACACATGTCAAGTATTGGCGTTGCAAAGAACGATCTTGTTGTGCTACTGTTCATACTGATAAAAATGATCAGGTTACGTACCACAATGATCACCACAACCATCTACCAGTACCAGAGAGCATCGAATTGAATGAGCTCAGAAACAAAGTGAAACATCGCGTTCTGGAAGAATCTACACCAATTGCACAGATATATGATCAGGAGCTAGCAGCAGCACATCTAACACTTCCAGCTCTATCAATTGCACCAACGTCAAAAGAAACTCGTAAGTACTTGGAACTTTACCTATTTCTTTTAGTATGTATCGTTATATATCTATTAGAATCATCTTTCCAACGTCTGCGGAGAAAAACAACACCGTCTCTTCCTGTATCAGATACCTTTGAAATACCATACAAGTACAGTCAAACTTTGGATGATAAAAGTTTTCTGCTCTGCGATGAAACTGTTCGAAACAAACGTGTCCTTTTATTCGCTACTGACTTACAACTCACAATTTTCTTTCAATCATCGCAAATCTTTATGGACGGAACATTTGATGTTTGTCCTCCACACTTCGATCAAGTGTTTACTATGCATTGTATTCATCATGATCAAGGTAGGTCTGAAACTTTTGTTTGCTATTTAAAATTTTGCGCTTTTAGCGATACCGTGCATCATTAGCTTATTACCTGGTCGATCAGCAATGGTTTATCAATACATTTTTGATTTACTAAAGAATGAAGCCAAAGAACTTGGACTTACATTTGCACCTGATGTAATAACAAGTGATTTTGAACCAGGTTTGATTAAAGCCATAAAACGTCAAGTATGCTTTTTTCTGAATTCTCTTCATTTACTTCATAAAACCGATTTTTTTTTTCATTTAAAAAGTTCCCAACTTCACGTCATAAAGGTTGTTACTTTCATCACAGCCAAAGTGTCTACAGAAAGATACAATCGCTTGGTCTATCATCTCAATACAATGATGACGAAGAAGTTCGATCTCATGCCAGAAAGTTGATGGCACTTCCTTTATTACCACTTGAAAAAGTTGACTCGGCGTTTGAATTTCTACTTGATGATCATCCACCTTGTCTTGATCCTCTATTCGATTATTTTGAATCATTTTGGATGGAATCGGTGCCAGTTGAATTGTGGAACGTATCAAATATCAAAATCAAAACTAATAATATTGCCGAAGGTAAGGCGTTTTAATTATATTATATTTCGACATTTGCGGATCTCTGTACAGGTTGGCACAACAGATTTGCTCATCGAATTGAAAAGAAACACCCAAACATTTGGCACTTCATCAAAGTACTTCAACAAGAAGAAGTGTATGTTAAACAAAACGTTCAGCATGTGAAGATGGGCAAGAAGAAAAAGATTGCGAAAAAGACGTGTGCAATTCAAGAATGTCTCGCAACATTGGCCCATCGATATAGAAAAAAAGAAATCACACTTATTGATTATCTTGATGGCCTTTCACTTTTGGTTGCAAAGAAAAAGTAACAATCAAAATTTCTGGTTCTTAATCATCTCTGTATTTTCTGTATGTCGTTGTTCTTGCTACTATGTGTATATTTATTATTACTCTTCAATAAACTATTTATTATTGATATCAGACGAATTTTTCTAGAAAAATTTGAAACAGCATTTTATACTTACCTATTTGACGTACTATGTCGACGAAGTGTCGTGTCGACGAAATGTTTGTCGACAAAATATCATATCGACAAAGTGCTTGTCGACGAAATGTTGTGTCGACGAAGTGCTGTGTCGACAAAAAGTTTTCGACTAAATGCCTGTCGACGAACTGCTCTGTCGACAAAATATCCTGTCGACGAAAATTATTCGACGAAGATTTGTCGACCAAGTGCGTGTCGACGAAAGAGCTTTCGACCAACAACATACTTACCTTTTCGTCGGTAGGGCATGAATCACTTGAAAGAGAGAATCCTTTCCAGTTACCCATACACTCTGAATAAATTCGCAGATCTATAAACAGACTAGAAACTTGACGAGTACTTTTTAATCTTGTCTTGTTATATCTATTTAGGTCAATAGATTTCACTTCACAAAAACACAATCCAACTTCATTCGTTGGTTATCCATACTAATTATTATGACGATAGTCGAAGACGTATAGATCTAAATTCACTACTATCTATACGTATCTTATCAATGTTTTCTAATTTTAAATCTTTCTATTGCGGCTTATTTTGCCATTCGTTATTACAAACATCTTTTGGTAATTCATCTCTAAGCATTATTTTTCCATCAACTTTGTTCGAACTGTACGTTAGTCTGAACGATCCGACCGATTGTCTTCATCTTCTTTATTTTTATTTGCAATAAATGGCAACCTCTATGGTCCTTACAATACCAAAGGCAAGTGATGAAGAGAATGAGAGATATTGTTGCACTTTCTGACTTCGAAATTAGGCGATATACTCAAATATCAAGTCGATGAATTACGACGAGTGTGGATATGTTAGTTTTAATTCATACATTGAACTTTACAAGAATAACTCGCTGCAAAAGCTATTGTTTGTTTCAATGGAATTCAACGATCGCTAGGAAGGATTTTGAAAAAAATCGAACACAGAATAGGCATGCGCAACTGGCGGGTTCCACTGAGCATCACACTCGGAATATAAAGTAAATTACCAGAAAAGAATGGATTATTCAATTATATCCTTACATAGTCGTTAACGAACGAACAGGCGTCAGTCAATAAACAATGGTGGAAAACTTCATATTTTTTCCCTATCATTTACAATCATCCAGGGAAACCAGCTCGGTCGTCCATGTCTATGTGTATATCGATGGGCTGGCAAAGAGTGAAAAGAAAAGGAAAGGAAAGAAAGTGAAGAGAGAAATATATAACTCGTATAGAACACCCGATCGAATCACAAGATTGATTTTGTTTTCGTCGATTTGAAACGGATCCACATACAGTTCATCGTATTCGTCTTGAAGAAAACTTGGTAAGTTGCTGAGTGTTCAGGTCGAGCGCTCCATACGAACGAGAACCGGCTTCTGAAACAGAGAAATTGAGTGCAGCTAATATGAAAAATTATCTCGCGTTTAGGTAGCTGTATCTGTTCTGGCCGAAAATGTTCAACATCGGAATCTACGTGAAGCAGAATTGCAACTGTTCTATCCTAAGCAACCCTGGCGAAGCTCAGAGGAATACATGTATAACCAAAAAGCAAAAGATACTAATGCTTGTAGAATGGGTAAACGAAGTGGAAGAAAAAATGATTCAAACGAAAAAGGGAAATGGTGCGAAATTATACTTACATAATTCGAAGAGACAAATATTTTTTCTCTTTCTTTGGAGCACTTGCTAAATCCGATCGGAACCTGCTGAATTCGGTCGGAATCGATAAAAAGTGTACCAAAGCCGACTCAGATTTAGGAGGATCCGGTCGCCGGAACGATCGACCTGGGAACGAAAATCCAAAAAGAACTGGCAACCATTGAAGATATGGTGATCGATATCCTAATAAAAGATCAGGTAAGAAAAGAGAAGATCCCGATTTTTTCAATCTATCGCTTTGAAATTGTCACGAAAATTTCTTGAATATATAGATAAAACAACCATTCAAACAACAAATTTATCTGAAAATACTCAAGAAAAAGATCTATGTGATTTATTGGAGAACGTTGGTCCTGTTACTGAAATCTATCTGGCGAAAGATACAAGCAATGATACATTGAAAGTATTTGCCATAATTACACTTCATAGTCAAACACTTGCACAAAAGCCATGAAATGTCTTTGCCAAGTAGACTATGGTGTTATTCTGTTGAAAGTAAAATCGTGAGAGTTCTTTCTACGAACACTAATTCGTTTTTTATTTTATTCACCTTTTTGGTTCAAGATACAAGAGTAAAAGATTCGATTGGTGATTCAATCTTTTTTGCTTCTTTTGTCTTTCCCTTATTTAACCCACGATAAAGATGTCAATAAGATAAAAAGAACAAAATTTCATTTTGTGTAATATCTCACAGTACTGAAAATGCGTAATGTATCATTTGTTGTGCATGAAAATGGAAAATTGATCGATCAAATTAAATAAAAACCGAAATATGAGCGTGAAAATATCGATGATCTTGTGCTCTGTCGAACATCATCGAATTTTAGTGTGCGAATGATCAAGCGTTCAGCTCAATTTTTATGTCTATCACCATTTGATACCAATCGAAAACACATGCCGACTATAGTTCGTGCTAACGGGGAAGTTTATCTGGCCACATTTTAATAGTTTCAATGATGTTGATATGAAAATGACGACTGAACAGCATAGTTTAACTTTTGTTCAACAAAGGATGCCGATTATTTAATCGTCAATCAACATGTAGGTGCAGAGCAATTCGAAGAATGGTTTCAACACTATCAACTCGCCGCAAAACTATTGGATAAGCGTGAAGAAGCGATTTCTGAAACAGTCAACGAAATTGAAGTCAATTTTAACAGCAGTAGAAGATAAACTTCAAGATAATGTACCAAAAACGACTGCCACTTTGCGTCGTGCTAGAATCAAAATCGAGCTCCTAATTATGGCGATAAAGAAGTAAAAGCGCTGAATACTGTTTAGACAGCTTCTTTACTTGATCAGCGCATTTGTATGATTTACTATAGTTCACAGTTGAAAGAATTGCATCAAAGGAATAATTTGGAAGAAGCTTGAACAGCCGAGAGAATTGCACGAATAGAGGATATTATCATCGCACAAAGCTTACTTGTACGTTTTGTAGTCATTGGAGATGACTTAGGTGAGTAAAGTACCCTAGTTGCCATACTATTCTCCTTATATTTTTAAAGGTATTATATTGAGATAAAAACCGAAAGAATTCATTTATGTTCCTGGTCAGTGTGAATCAGTGATCTATTGTCGAATATCCACCGGTCAAAAACGCGAATTAGTCGCTGCAGCTAAGAACCATTTTTAAACAACGTATTTTAGCTATTGCTGCATAGGTCCACAAGAAATAACAGTTATCCTGCGGTGTAAGTTTTCATAGTGTATATACTCCCTTAGCTCTCTTTACTCTTTTATCCTTCAAACTTTCTCATTGTCTTTCATTTGATCTGGAATGAAAAAAGTTGCATATTGGTAAATTAACTCATAGATTATGTGATCTGATGAGAGCATTTTCGAAAAGAACGTCTACTAATGGCGCTATTCGAAGATGACGATAACACGCCCTATATCGATTCTATTACATAGAAGAGAAAGAATGAATACATGGGGTCGGACGATTCCAGGGCTTAAGTATCGTACAGATAAAAAGACATGTGATCAAAGTATATATCAACAGAAAGGGAGAAAACTATGAAATTTGGAGAATAAGATAAACGAAAAACGAAATATTGTGAACTTGTCTATAACGACGGATGATATCAATTACTTGCAAACAACGACAGGCAACATTCATAAGAACATAATGACCATCAGGCTATAAGAAATGTAGATTCTTTTCGGGATCTAGTGAGCAATGCTTGCAATTTAGCATATGGCATAGAAATAAATAATAAAACTCGGGGCGTTGTCCTGGTAAGTTGCATAAAATATTGATAAGTTGTTTCAACGACGAATTCGTTTTTTCACACACAACTATGTATTAATATCTTTCCGATGTGGTTTCAAATTGATGTTTCTTTCTGTACAGCACATCGAACGGTTGAGTGTTTTTTATGCAGACAGCCAGTGAACATCTCACTTAAACCAAGAAAAAGTGACGATCGTTTCGGAACCAGTGTTTTGGTGGCGTGAAGCCGTGCCTTAAAGTAAATCCAACCGCTGCATGCGTTGTCATAGATAAAAATATTTGGTATTCTTTTGTAAAATCACTGATGTTTTGCAGCACATTGAACTAATGTAATAGTGTGAGGAATACTTGTTCAGACAATTTTATCTCAAAAAAGTTTAAGACAATTCCGCAATTATATATGGTGGATATAACTCCATAAGAACGAACTTTTTCGTTAACACAACGTGGATTTCTGTTGATGTTACATTCATCGTTCGTGATCATGTCTTCTTCAACATCAATCAGCAAAGGATTTAGCTTACAGCTAGTACACACGGTATCTGCTAAACCCCTCCCCTTAATAGAAGCCCCTCCCGTATTAGAAGCTTCCCCCATATTAGAAGCCCCGGGGGGCTTCTAATATGGGGAGGGGTTTACGTCAACTTTCAAAGCGTGAACTGCTTTTATGACTATTGATTTACATTAGTGGGTGTCTTTCGCTCTTTGTTTTCCGGACGATTATCACATCCAGTGAGTACATATCTTTTAAAAGAACGACTAATACTGGGTTGTCAACAAAGTTCTGTCGTTTTTTTCTAAAATCTTGTACAATAACCTAGAAAGTTCTAGAAGTTTCCATACTGAAGGTATATATATATATAGGACATCAATGTCTTCTGAAGGATAAAAATCATCGATATGAACGTGATGCCGAATCAAAAATAAATCTTTCTGATAGGGAGAAGCGAGTACTTTCACTTCATGAATTTCGTTTGGGTCACAACTACATTGTTTTGATTCATTTATTTGGTGATGCTACTAGTCAACGTGCCCTTCTCGTCAACATTTGAACAAACTTAAACACGTGAATGCCGTCCTCTACAGCTTCTATTGTCATTTCTCGAGTTCCTTTTTACATTGTTGCCAATTGTGATTATTCCTTCTCTTTCTCTCAAAACAATTGTTTTCTTTTCTCATTTCATAACACGCTTGTTTCTGAGAGATAAATAAATATCTGAAATTCATTCAGTCGATCGAATAACCACCAGAGAGCAAATACAAAATTGAATTTGATCTGTTGCACGTATAAAACAATCGGACAACAATCGAGAAATACTAATCGCCGAGTGAAAGAACAAAAAGAAAGAAACGATTTCCCCAAAGATTCTCGTCAAAAAGGAAAAATGAAGCATATAACCTTGACAGTAGAATCTGTCGGTGTCGGGCAATTTATTCATTCATAGATAGATAGATAGATAGCAAAAAAAGCAAATTGATCATAATGCAATCAAGAAGAAGAAGAAGCCATCGATCGTAATGAAGAGAAAAACTGTTCATCAAGACACGTGTTCATTTTCGTAGTTCTTTTCCATAGCTTTCATCGATTCGGCGAACGTATTCCTTGCACCATATTCGTAATGAATGCTAAAAGAACAAAACACGTCAAGTGACTAGAAATGGAAACAAACAACACGATGATTACTTCGCATGTATTCATTATTGATTTGATTTGAGAATTCTCAATAATCGATTGAATATCAGCATCCGTGTATAATGAAAGTTTCCATTCGTTCGGTAAAGCCTATGAAGGAAGAACAGAGACGAAATGATCGAAATGAGAATCTTGTGGCATACGATAAGTTGAGACTTGGTTCCAGCTGCACGCCGACCAAGATAAAGCAAAACAGAGGAGAAAACTTTCAAACTGGTCGATTGACTTGATGTGATTTGACCAAGAACCAAACGATATTTGATTGGTTTGACTAATTTTATCGTATTCCCAAAAATATTTGTCAGGAAATGGGTTTCCATTTTGAAGGAAAATCGATATAGCCGGAGTTTTCGTCGTGCCAAAAATATCATCTTTCGGCTAAATAAATATCAGATGTGGTGAACATAGCAGCGCAGTGGTAGAAAAAAGATTTTATCATAAACTGAATGATTTTCGATCGTTTCAATAGCCTCTGAATAATTTATTGAATACAGGACCGTCTGGCTCGAGATATACTCGATGTAGAGCGACGAGTAGTTCTTGTAAACGAATCTTATGTATAGCTAAACTTGGTGATTGAATTGAACGATGCTAGAAGAGAAATCTTCTTAGCTCAGTGGTGTTCGAAGTCCAGTAAGACTTACTGATCGATTTTGATGGACTCGATGTTTGACAAAAACGACAAACAGAATAGCAAAAGCTCCTTTCTTGAATGGATTCCGACGAATCTTTGTTGACTTCTTTCCTTTACCATCTGGTNGCACCATATTCGTAATGAATGCTAAAAGAACAAAACACGTCAAGTGACTAGAAATGGAAACAAACAACACGATGATTACTTCGCATGTATTCATTATTGATTTGATTTGAGAATTCTCAATAATCGATTGAATATCAGCATCCGTGTATAATGAAAGTTTCCATTCGTTCGGTAAAGCCTATGAAGGAAGAACAGAGACGAAATGATCGAAATGAGAATCTCGTAGCATACGATAAGTTGAGACTTGGTTCCAGCTGCACGCCGACCAAGATGAAGCAAAACAGAGGAGAAAACTTTCAAACTCGTCGATTGACTTGATGTGATTTGACCAAGAACCAAACGATATTTGATTGGTTTGATTAATAACTAAAAGTCAAATAGTATAATGTGTGTTTGATTGTCGAACACACAGATTTACAGTCGTGACGAGCGCCCGAAAGATGAAGAGACCAATGAGTAAAAGTATTGCCCGTTGTTGAGTGATATTGATGAGTTTCGAATGATCGAACTCCAAATGTTCCTACGGGAGAAAGAAAGAAAGAAGATTTCGATCAGAATGTTAGCTTACTCGTTCGCATTCCCAAAAATATTTGTCAGGAAATGGGTTTCCATTTTGAAGAAAAATCGATATAGCCGAATTTTTCGTTGTACCAAGAATACCATCTTTCGGCTAAATAAATATCAGATGTGGTGATAGTAGCAGCACGGTGATAGAGAAACGATTTTACCATAAACTGAGTGATTTTCGATACGATATCTTTCATTGCATTTCCGATCGTTTCAATAGCCTCTGAATAATTTCTCGATGAACTATTCAGAGCATGTTGTAAAGATATTGGATGAGTTATTGCTTGGATCAGTGCATTGAATATAGGACCGTCTGGCTCGAGATATACTCGATGTAGAGCGACGAGTAGTTCTTGTAAACGAATCTTATGTATAGCTAAACTTGGTGATTGAATTGAACGATGCTGGAAAGAGAAATCTTCTTAGCTCAGCGATGTTCGAAGTCCAGTAATACTTACTGATCGATTTTGATGGACTCGATGTTTGACAAAAACGACAAACAGAATAGCAAAAGCTCCTTTCTTGAATGGATTCCGACGAATCTTTGTTGACTTCTTTCCTTTACCATCTGGTTCGGTAAAGAACCCATTTTCACCTAAATGAGGTGCAGTCGAATTGTCCAGAGTTCCTTGAAACTTCGAACTCCTACTGGTTTGCAACTCATTTCGATAACGTCGGTCTACTGATATATCCGTTTCTTCTCCAGATCGTTCATTTTCCGAATGTGCTATGATCATTTTCAAGTGAATTAAGCAATTATTATATACATGGCTTACTCTCTTTGGAAAGTGATCGATGTGGCCGTGATTTATGAGTTGAACGATCTGAAATCGACTCAGCATATATTTATTTCATCGTGGCTATCGAATAGATACCCGATTTTGGTGAGACATATATGTCACTTGGTAATTTGATTAAATGTTCAGACGAAACTGGTGGTAGTGCTGTTTGATGATTTTGGTAGCCATTCCTATTCGGTAAATTTCTGAGAAACACAATGGCGAGAGTAACGGGCAAATAGCTAAACTAAAAGAAGCCTACTGCAATTGATGAGATTTCTGTTTCGATGAGATCGGTGGCAGTTTTACTGTCGGTTCCTTTTCATTTGAACCGGTCATACCGACCTAAATATTAAAAGGGAATAAATGATTCGAAAGAGTAGTCTTGTTTCACTACATTATGATCAACGTGTAATTGAAGCATTTTCTCATAAGCTTCTGCACGACGAGTATCTTCGAATAAAGAATTCTTGCAAATACCGACAGTATACTTTTATAACGTACCACGTTCGGTTCGACTTCCAGAAGATCGATTGGTGTAAATAAGATCTTCATTGTGAAGATAAATTTGTTCATCATTCAGCGGACCTAAAACAGAATCTACAGATGAACCAGATCAGTTGAATTTCTGTTGTTCATTTCTACCAAAATATGGACTACGATATCCATTGTTGGTTCGTTGTTGGTCAAAACTACCCTGAACAAAAACAAATGTAAAACGTTCGATATCACTATGATGAATGTCAAACATTTAATTGACGAAAAGCCAGACGACGCCGAGCCATCGAGTCAATCAGATAATCCATATTGGAAGAGATAAGCGATGGTTCCTCTGAAATTCAACAATAATATTGATTCGAATAGATCTTCTCGGTAACAAACCATCCAAAGGCTGTAGATATAAACGAGAGTCATAGGAATAACTTGGAAATAACATGTGGTGACCGCCTCGATAACGATGATTGTATAAATCCTGAATAAACAAATCAAAACATAGTTGAAGACGAATAAATCATCGTACGTGTATTCGTTGAATTTTAGAATCATGTCGTTGTGGTTTTGATCTACTTCGTCGATGATTTTCTGAACTCCTCTGTGCTAAATACCAACAATAGGTAATTATCAAAGTAACACGATTATTACACGTACGGGTGCGTTTTTTCGGTTCATCGCTTCGTGCACGTGGTTGTTTAGCGTCCTAGGGAAAACAACGTTCGTTTCATTAGGTTAAATATTCAAATAAAATTATTCTTACGGAATCGATCAAACGCAATCGAAGTTTATGTATATTACCTTCAACATTAGTCTCCATGGGTTGTATTGAAGGCTAAAAGTAAAAAGAAAATTTTACAAAAATGTCAAGTTTAAAGCGGATACAGAAAGCAATTCTTTTTTGTTCTTTTTTTTTCTTCACTTCTGAAAAAAAAGAGCACGTCGAAGAACGTGCCGTTGCTTTTGTTGAAGTTATATATATTATTGTCGTCATAGCTCAGTGTCATCAGTATAGCTGAATATGGCCTGATTTTGTTCTCGTTTACTGAAACATAATAGAAATGAGATATTATGTTGGGATACTTGCTAATATTCGTGTCGAATGATTTCTATCGTGAAGTTCATCGTCACTTGATATGGGTAAACATACAGATTCTTCTGTCTATGAAGGAAAATAAAGCAATAACTGAGAAATATTTAGTTAACATATCAATTACAATCGATATTGATGTTTGTCGTTTGACTGATGGTTGAAAATGTTTTAGAGCGAGTAGTGAGTCAACGTCGGAATCGTACGGAAGTTCACTTCGAGTAATAGATCGATCTTCCGTCTGAGTTGTTAGCTGAGCGTGAACTGTTGATGATGATGATGATGATCGTGATAGAGAAGAAGAACCCTCATGTGCCATAGATTTATTGAATACAAGTTTGAAATATGTAAGTGCAAACCAAAAAATGCTACTGGAATAAGAAACGAAGGTGGTATATAAAGTTTTCCTGATTAATTCAAATATAATCAACAAAGAAAGAGACCCTAGGAAAGTAACTCAGAGCTGTCTTTATTGATTCTTTTATTTAAATAGAAACTCATTAGAGTTTTATCTGTAATTCAGGTGTTGATTCAACAGAATACAATTTTGTTGGTTTTACTGTTGAACAGTGCCATCTACATACGAAACAAACTCACACAAAATTGTCATAGAAACTCAAAATCAAATCGTTATAAACATTCCAACATTTGTCAGTTAATCGTGAACTATCAAAATGTCGAATAAGGAAATTAAAAGTCGTTATCACATTTTGCATGTTGAAGTTCAACATGGTAAGATTGGAATTTGACGAGTTCGATGATTTTGATAAAAATTCTGCTTTTCAAGGTTCTGACCGATTCGATGTTCACCTTCATTTGGAACGACCACCTTTAGTTAGAGATTTAATGATGGAAGTAGAAAAGAAGGCTCGTGTTACTCTTCATAATCAACAACTTGTCTTTCGCGGTAACAATAATTCTTCGTCATTTTTCTTTTCCTTGACTTTTGTCGTTTTTTTTCCGAAATCAAGGTCAACGTTTACATCAAACACCAGATAAAGAGCTAGAAAAGTTCGGTATATTCAATGGAAACCATATCATGTTAATTGGAGAAAAGGTTTGATGGAAAATGAAATGTTATTGAAAATTTGAAATTTCCGTTTTAGTTATCAGGCACAGAAGATGATAATTTTCGCCGTTTGTTGAGTATTGAAAAAGATGTGAAATTGATCGATGACGTTCTCGAACTCGTTTGTCGAGATTTTGAAAATATTAAACAGGTACGGCAAAATCTTATTTTATAGCAATACGATTGAATCATCGATGAAAATTTTTTCAGAGTCAGCAAACACGAAATCAATGCGACCACATTCTCAACGATTTATACTCTCGTGGTGAACGTTGCCGTTCAGATTTGCAAACATTTAGTTCGATTGTTAGAAATCTAAATGTTGCTCCCAATGAACATGATGCACTACGAAAAAAGAAGGAAATTTCAGCTTTAATCGAGGTAAGTTGTTCAAAAAAAAGAATTAAAAGTCAAATGATTTTATTTTAGGATCGTTTGGATATTTCAAATAATATTCTCTCAGCGATTTCATCTTACTAAAGCGACTATACAAATCATCACACAACATCGAATAACTGATTTTGTCATACTAACAACTAACTAGTTTTCTTTCGAATCGGAGTGGCTTATATATTTGTTACTTACTTATAATAAAATCATCGGAGATCATTGGTTTAACGGGAAATATTCCGAACTTATTATAATCTTGATATATACACATGTATATGAACACATTTTTGACCGATTTATGATGTTTGTAGACATGAGATTGATGATAATGTGAGTGCTTATCAGAAATAGGACAGTTCTCATTATTTTTCATTCTCGTGAATCTGACACTAATTGAATATCGAATAAAGACCTCCGATGAAACACGACATTGAAGCTTCTCACCATCAATGACGAATCATTTTGTTATTGAGGAAAGAAGAAGAAGAGGAGACACATTACGATGCGCATCAGTGAATTTTGTCTATATATAAAAGATAAATGACCGAATGATGAAAATGCACGTTGTTCGAGTCGTTTCGTTTATCACTCATATTGTGCGTGACATAGTTAATACTTCATTTCTTTGAACAAAATGGGTCTGACGATAAGCAAGGAGCAATTAATGGCTGACGCCATCGAAAATCAAGATATCGATAATCTCAAAGCGCAAATACAAAGTATTACTGATGAGAATATGAAGGTGATATGTAAATCTCTTGTACCTGGTAATGCTAATCGATGTACCTTGTTGCATTATGCGACGTGGCAAGGTAAACTACTTGTCTCTATTTCTCAACGAGAACATTTATCTATGAAATTTCTTTTTAGACAATTCCGAGTTATTGGAAATGTTCTTGAAATTTGTCGATGACTTAGAAATACGTGATGGTCTTGGTTGGACACCACTGATGACTGCTGTTCAGCGAGATAGCAAAGAAAATGTGAAATTACTTTTAAAATATGGCGCAAAGATCGACTGTGATAATATGCAAGGCATGGATCTGATTGCTAATGCGATGCATTACAACGACATTGGTACGAATAATGTTTTTTTTAACGAAATCAATCTTCGATGATTATTTTTGTCTATGACTAGAACTAATTCAAATTCTAATGGATCACGGCGCACAAGTAAAAAGCTCATCAGGTGCTCAAAATGGATGTTATCTCTTACATTTCGCCGTCGATGAAGGTTTAATAAATGTAGCCAAATTATTAATCGAAGAAGGGAAAATTCTGGTTGATACATTAGATAAATTGGGATGGAGTGCGCTTCATATTGCTGCTGGACATAATTTTGTTGACTTTGTCCGACTGTTGGAAAAGTATGGCGCTGATATAAATATTAAAGTATTCTATACTAAATAGAATTGACGAAAAAATTGAACGATCTTGTTCTTTTAGGATTTAAATGGAAATACACCATTAGCATGGGCCAAGCATATGAATGCCAAAGAAGTTATCGAAGAATTGGAAAGACTTGGTGCTAGAGCGGATGAAGAATGGCATGGCGAAGAATTAGCATTCAAGGATAGTCAGATAAAATTCGAAGAAGAAAAAGAACGTGGAATCGATAACAATCAATTTGAAATGGATGAACTCGGAGACTCAACTTTATCAGATAACAAAGGTTTAATCCTTTTGGACGCACTTCAACGGCAATAGTTCACCTTGAGTTACACCACTTTTACTTTTTCGATTCCTATCAGAATGATTGGAACATTTGAACACGTTCATCATCTCTTTCTTGGTATTTATTATACATTTCAAATGTTTATATTAAGACGACACAATTATCTATCGTTCTACGTACAAATAAAAAAGATTGGCAGCGCTTCCATCGAATTTGTCTCTTCTTTCAGATATTTGCCTGTCTACGTTTGAACACCGGAGAATAAATCTTGAACGAGATTTATCGATCACGGTTTTCTACAACATGAAGTACACATTGTATCGAAATTGTTCAGCAGTTCCTGAGGGCATGGCAATGCATCCATTCCAGCTGGACCTGGCAAACCAGATCGACCACGAAAACCACGTTGTCCTTCTTTTCCTTCGTTGCCCTACAGAATGTGCCAATTCTATTGCATGTTCCTTCAGATTCTCCTACATACTTTATCACCCTTTTCTCCTGGTGGGCCCTAAATGTAGAGAACTGTTGTAAAATCGACAAGCATAGGTTTTCACTTACTTGAACACCTCTTTCGCCTTGATTGCCCTAGAAGAGAGAAAAAAAATGATAGCTGCTAAGAATCAATTAATCGCAATCATCGTTAGAAGAAAACCACCAATGCTTTCTACATTAGTATATAGAAAAAAAGTATTTACATGACACACACACACACATACCAGTGACCGTTTCTTATGCATGCTCTTTAAAGTTTAAGAAAATTAGTGTATTTAGAAGAAAAATAGCAAGCTTATAACTATACCATCCCATAACCAGGCAAACCTATAGAACCTCGGTTTCCTTTATCTCCTTTGATTGAAAAACCTTTTTCACCCTAGAGTAAAATCAAAACATAAATTAAAAAACAAATTCATTCTCGAGAAGGATTTACTTTGATACCAGGTGGGCCTGTGTCACCTTTTAAACCCTAAACGACAAGAAAAGTCAATCACTTGCATGAAGACCGGTCACTATCTGATTTACCATGATACCATTATATCCTCGTTCACCTTTCTGTCCATTGTAGCCTGGTTGACCTGGAAGTCCGATTCTTCCCTAGTTGACTAGATATGAGCATCAATCTATTTCACATCGATTTTAAACTTACTGGAAGTCCTGGAGGACCAGGTGGACCTCTCAGGAGAACATGTGTTTGATTAAAATCAATTTTTTGAATATATCCCGATTCACCTTTCATGCCAGGCTCGCCCTATAAACACCATCGTGTTATAGTATCCATCCGCACATAAATGAATTTCTAAATGTACCTTTCTACCCGGTGGTCCAGGATAACCGATCTCACCTTTTGTACCACTGACACCATCCTGTCCTGGAAGGCCAGGACTAGAATTAAAAGAAAACGATTTAATTCGAAAAATGACTCGAGGATATGTTTTTTACTTTCCAGGTAGACCGGGGGCACCACGGCTACCTTTTGGTCCAATAATTGAATAACCAGCATCACCTTTTTCTCCCGGTACGCCAGGCTCGCCTTTTAAATAAATGACGCGCCGTACTCTTGGTCGAATAAACGCACCACGGTCACCTTTTTCCCCCTAGACACGAAGAAAACATGCAAGCATCATGCAAACATACATGCAAGCAAATATCTGTGCAGACACAACACCAAAAAGCATTGTCTGGTTTTCTTCATAACATTTCGTTTAATTTATCGTGTGTCTATTGTTAGTAATGTTCTCAACATACCTTTTCGCCTGGTAAACCCTACGATAGATCAATATATGCAAATGAAATGAGACAAAAAAAGATGTAATCCTACATCTTGGCCAGGTGGTCCAGCTTTGCCAATACCATTAAGACCAGGTGCTCCCATTTCTCCCTTTTGTCCTGGTGGTCCCGGTGGACCTTGAATCAATTTACCTTCAGGTGACGATAATAGCACTTGCTGAGTACTGTCAACAGCTTGACCTGGTTCACCTTTTTCACCCTATCGAAATTACAATAGTTCTTTGTGTACGTGAAAATGAGCATGTTCACAAGATTTACTTTGATACCATTCCAAACTATCGAGCCTGGATGGCCTCGTTCACCCTTCGGTCCCATTTCACCCTAAAAAATCTCATTTATACAACGTCAAAGAAATCGATCATCTTACTGGAAATCCGGCAAATCCTCGATCACCCTAGAA